CTAGCTTACGAACAGTGGAGGTTCGGAGAGTTAGGAAAGCAAATGGTGAAAAGGTTCTGAAATACAGTCTGGGTCTAGGCAATGAATGAAGTTTGAAAGGTCAAGTTTATCACTGAAAGTTCAATGGCGGGATGGGAGGTCAAGGTCATGTCTAGGTTCAGAGGTGTAGCTAGGGTTGCTATTGCCATGAAACTCTTAAATATACTATATCTGTTTAACTTTTAGCTGGGACTTTGTGGATGGTCTGGATATTGAGAGTGAAGCTTGGCAGTTTTTGTTGTTTTTACTTTAAGAGAGATTAATATACTAGATATGCTTTATATACATAACAAGCAGAATAAGTTAAGCGTAAAGTTTTAATTGGAAGTGTTCAAGATGCATATAATTATGCTAGTTTGTATGTTTAAGGAACTTTCTTTCATCATTTCAAACTTTAGTTCATTAACTTATCAATGGTATAAGTGCAGTATACTATTGGTCATTCATTTTTCAGCATAATTTTTTTTAGAAGTTTTGGTTTGCAGTTAGTCAGAATAAGTCAAAATTACTGAAAGAAACCTGAACTATGAAAACTTTAATCAGAAATAGTTTAAGTATTGAACTTTTACCTAGATCTGCAGGATTTTTTTTTATTTGTTTGATCAAAGGCTCATTATGATATTAGTACTGGTATTTTGGTAACCAAAGCTTTTACTCTTAAGAAACTGAGGCTGGAAGTAAAAAGTTGCTTACTTTAAGGTTTTTTTTCTACTATACTTGCAATTCCTTGAGAGATAAAAAGAAATTCCATAGTGTTTTCAGTCAAATTGATTGGCCTTTTCATCCCCAGCTTGTCTTATCTTAAGCAATATGATTCACTATTGAGTAACACAATAGAGTATGTCTTTTTATGTTAGTCGTCTCAAGCACAAAGAGCTACCTGGGATACGCAAAGTGGGGCTCGTCCCAGTCAGCCTGCTGTAAACCAAGCAGAAACATTTAGACTATCCGAGCAAGAAAGAGTACAAAGAATGTATGAAGAACAAATGGCCCAGGTATCAACTCGGATGACTCTTAACCCTTGTTTATCCTTAACTTCATTCTTCCCATAATACAGTTTTGAGATGTTTTTAGCGGCCCAAAGATCGATTAATCGAGAGGGAATATCGTTTTTAGTCTGTCTGTTTGTTTGTCTGTCTGTCACAAAACTTACCTTCACCATAACATGGAAGTTTTTTACAGTCTCAAAGTAAGCGATGAGCTCTACCTGTTAAACCCACTCACGGGTTAAAAGGTCAATGTCACCCTTAGGGGCATTGCATCTTTGAATGTAGAGCTTCCATTTTATTTTTTTATTTCACAATGAAATCTTAATGACATGGCATTTTAATTCAAAGTTTTAATAAATATTCCTGTTGAAGTTTTAAACTTAACTGTATCCCTGTAACAAAATGTACATAATAATCTATTGTGTATTCCAATCTTAACAATTCATTCCTTTACTATCATGGATATTCATAACTTTGTGAAATGTTGTTTAATGGTCTGCATGGTTTAATGTCACACTGTTTCATTTGCTTGGCACTTCTTTTTACATTTACAGTGTTTTTCTGTTTGTTTTTACTTGTTAAAATTATTATTATGTTACATATAGATTATGCACATGCATATTAAATATTTAAATTCTTATTCATCCATTTAACATTTGCTGAGACAGGTTTTATCTTCAGATTGCAGCATTTGTGTAAACATGTGTAGAATTATTCTGTAAAATGACTTTCAAATATATAAACAGTTTTTTTTAATTGAATTTTATTTCTGGTAATACCTTCTTAATCAGTTAAAAAAAAAGATATTTTAATAAACAGAAACAAAATGAAGTTATCACTTCCTGTTTACAAAGACAGAGTGTTGTGAAATATTTACTAATTGCTCATTTTATTTTCTAGTAAATCATAATTATTTTGTTGTTTTTTTTACAGAAGAAAATGAAGATGTTGCTTTGTCATAGCAGACACCCATTTTCATTTTACAAATATTATACATCTGTCAGGATCCCAAGTTTTGAAGTAGCCCTTTGTCATTGGTTAAATTTAAAAATGGGAATGTTATCAACCAATCAAATTTAAGTAACAATTCTTGAAAAATGATAATATTTTGTTACTTCAAAAATCACATTGGGAATATCAGACATGGAAAAATGTATTTTTGAATTTTTAACAGTAAAAGCAAGTGATGAATTTGGACTTTCTATGTTTCAAATTTCATCTGCTGAATCATATAGAAATGTTATTTTTCATTGTTTGGTTTCTTTGTTGTTTTCAGCGTCAGCAGATATTACAGGACGAGTACCGGAGGGAGCAGGCGGAGGAACATAGGTTAGCCACAGAGAGGGAGGGGCTTCCTATAGGGGTTAGCGACAAACAGAAATTGAATGAAGAAAGGCAAAGAGAGTACAATGAATATCTTGCTAAGGTATGAAATATAGTTTATGATTGGTGGAATTGTAAGCAGAAATTTATTGCTTTGACTAAGGCCTTTTTTCTACAGATAGGGGAAGTGGCCCTCCCCTTAAATTTGGGGTAAACATAACCATGAAGTTTTGCAAAAGGGAAGAAAAAATTTAATATGTTATTAAAGTGATTTTAAGGGTAAAAAAACTCCATGATTTTAAAGAATTTTTGAGAAGGGAAGGACCCTTTAAATAGCCCCTGCTATAGAAAGAGGCCTGTTTTTATGTGTATGTACAATGTGTTATATTAAACAGATTGAGTGCTGCATAAGTGTATCTAAGGCAGGATGCGTTTAGTTTAATATTACCGAAATGTAGTTTAAAACTTGGCACAATTGCTACAAAAAATAATTTTGATCATATGGGAAAAGTAATGAAGTTCTAGCTTGCATTAATCTTAAATATTGATTGTAAATAATTTTAATTATTTTGGTTAAAGTTATAAAAGCAGGTTAGTCAGAATAATGTTATTTGGACAAGATAATTGTTTCCAGACTTAAAAATTTGGTATTACTAAATTTAATATGAGCGCATTCACAGCTTAAATCTTATTTCCATAGTTACTAGTATTTGAATTTTAAACTCTCCATGGCAACCGATTTTTGAGTCCAATGGTCATTTGTCTCTCACTGCTTATTCAGAATTCATGTAGGATAAGTTAATAAAGTAGTCGGTCACTTGCAGAGAAATTGATAATTGCCAGTTAATTATCAAGGACAGCCGATTTAATTGACCAATTATCAAGATAGATCACAAATGTGTTAAAATTGGCATTGTAACCAACCGAACCAAAATATTTTCTTAAAAAGATTTTTGTTCTTCCCTTTGAATAAAGTTAATGGTATGCCAGTATTTTAGATAGTTAAGCACTGACAGCTTAAACGTTTTGTAGAAGAAAACATTGCTTAAACTAACTCACAACAAAAGCTTTAATAAAATATTTAATGTGTTGTTAATTTATATAATGGGAATGGGATGGTGTAAAGATTTCTTTTTTAATAGAATCGAAACACTGAAATTACACAATGTTATTTACTCAAGTTTGATGTGGTTATGTGATTGGTTTAAATTAATCTTTATTCCAAAGGCAATTCAAAATGTTTTTTTTTAACAAATTCTATAAATGAACAAATCTTACGTAAAGTTTACGTTACATTTGTTATATGATGAATGTAGAACAATCCACAGAGAAGTTTCCGCACAAAAGAGCCGACACCAGAACATTTACGGCAGGGACTGCCTTTAGATCAGGGAAAATATAATGAGAAAAAACATCAACTTGAAATTGAAAGACAGAGAGAGTATAATGAATTAATTCAAAAGGTAGTCAAGTTTCTTCACTGGTGACAGTTCATTCCTTCTTGCTCAACCTCCACTTTGAGTTTTCTTCTAGTTCTCAAAGCAAGTTTCTTTTACACTCTTTTGAGTCTTTTCTGTATAACTTGCGCTGGATGAAACGTTGATAAGAAAGTAGTTTTTAACATAATTTTTATTATAATTTATTGTTGTGCTTTAAGCTTTCATAGGAGTTTATTTAAATGTCATTTTGCAAACTCCGATCAAGAAATGGAAAAGAACAAAATTTGATAATTAACAGAGTGTGGCTTATAGAGTTTAGATTAATTAAGGTCACTTTTGTTATTTGTGAAGATTTCTTTCTTTATTCTAAACAGTGGTAAAATGATTTTAATTAATATCTGAATAAGATTTGCAAATTAAACAATGTTCCGAGAATTTGTAGAATTCACTTTTCAGTGTAATTTTGAGGATCATTTGAACTTCTGAAACTAAATTTGTTTTTTCTAAATTGCATTTTGTTAAACTGTGCTAGCACTGTTATATAAAAGCTAAATTGATTTACTTCTGCCAATAGTGAACAGCCAGGCAAACCTTTGCCTGACCATGCAGGCAACATCTCAGTATTGATGCTTGCTCAAGTTTAACAGGTCTTATTGAAACCTTCTATAATAACAAAGGATAGTTTAAAATTCAAAGTAGTGCAAAGTCCATAGTGCAAATTAAGCACTGTACGGCTCAAACTTGAACTTTGCAGTCTATTAGAGCCATGTAGAAAAAAGCTTGCGTCGATTCTTTTTTAACGCCAATTTTGGCTCAACTTTCGTTATTTTATTGTAGCCGATTTCTGTCTCTTTTCTTTTTAGCATTATTTGTTCTGAGCCACATTGCTAGCATTCAAGGAATATGTGTCATAACTAACATACCTTTATTCTTTTTCGTTCATTGTGGTATTTTGGGGGATATTACCAAACATATTATCATTCAGCATCTTCATTTTCTTACTCATTAGCAAAGGCAGCAGCAGAAGCAACAACGACAAGAAAGACAACAATACCCTCAGTCTCAACAACAACCACAACAACAACAACAGCCTTATGTTGATAATCCTAGGTCTCAGGCTGCTGTTACAAGAGGGGGTGACTACCCCACCCAGTATTCAGGTGGTCAGCAGCAGGGTTTTGACAATTATGAGGTAGAGCCTCATTTCCAGTTAACTGGAGCATTATGTTGACCTTATTTCCACCTCATTGTGTTGCATTGATTAATATTCACTGTGCTTTTCGTGATAACCTTACTATAAGCTTATTGTTATAAGTTATATATCACTGCTTACTTGCTAAGTGTTGTATTTCACTGAATTTGTTACAATATCAGCCCACCTGCTTAGTTGAATAGGGATTTGTTATCCAGGGGTTGCTAGTTCGACCCTCAGGCCAAAAGTAATTACTCCCTTACAGTGGATCTCGAAGTCTTATTGTCATTTTGTCTGTCACCTCTGATTTAAAAAGTCAAGTGGAATTAATAGTCTGACGCTTTTAGAGAAAGTGGTAATTACCAGTTAGTTATCCAGGAATGCCTGAAAGGTGGATTAACTGTCAAGATATGACCAAAATGAGTTAAAGAGGTTAGTTAACCAGGAAACTGGCTTTTAGAGAAATTGGCAATTACTTGTTAGTTTACCGGAGAAGGTGGTTGTTAGTTAACCAGGAACTTGCTTTTAAAGAAATTGGAATTACTTGTTAGTTTACCAGAGAAGGTGGTTGTTAGTTAACCAGGAACTTGCTTTTAGAGAAATTGGAATTACTTTTTAGTTAACCAGGAAAGCCTGTGAGGTGGTTGACTGTCGAGATATGACCGAAATTTGTTAAATTGGCATAAAAAACAAAGTAAACAGACAAAATGTTACAGTATCACTTAAATCTAATGTCATATTATATAACCCTTTGTTTTTCCCATTTTCATAATTTTAAGCATCAGAGAGAGTAAATGTAAACATTTATTTACCTTTCATTTGTTTTAATTAACTGAATGTTGTGTTGACAGAATCATCAGCTCATTTATAAGCAGAATTATGTTTACAATATTTCCACTTGAATGGATTGTTTGTTTACCTTTTCTATGCACATTGTCACCTTTTGTTAACATTTTTAGCTATTTTTCCCCACTTACCAGAATGCATTATACCATTCACTCCTAATATGTTCTGAAATCTATTCTGCTGTTCTTTTTGACTGTTTCAGCATCTTTTTTATAAAGTTTATTTTTCACTTAAAGATATACATTATATATTGTCCAACTTAAGTGCCAACAAGAACAATTTCTTTAGATAGTTATATAAAAATTCTTGAAATGATGATTTTATTTATTATTTTTATTATTTTAGACCAGTAAAATAAAAAACAAAGTACTTGTCATATTACAGCCTAAATTTTCATTCTCTACATAGATGTAATTTTTGTTTTGCCTATCATTGCAGAAAGGCCAGCGTGCTGATGGTCGCCGGGCTGACGTTCTGGAAGGTAAAGGTGCCACACTTCCTGTCGGTGAAATAGATGAAAGGAGACGTCAACAGTTGATATCAGAACGTCAACGAGAATATAATGAACAACAACAACAGGTAAAGCTTTCTGTGGGTTTAACACCTGTAAGTGTAGATATGAAGGGAGGGTATTAAACTCCTAATAGAGTAGGTATGAACACTTAAGAGCAGGTATGAACACTTGAATTGTAAATATGAACTCCAGCTAGGGAGGGTTTTAAAGTCCTAATATAATAGGTATGAACACTTAAGAGCAGGTATGAACACTTGAATTGTAAATATGAACACCAGCTAGGGAGGGTTTTAAAGTCCTAATATAATAGGTATGAACACATTAGAGCAGGTATGAACACTTGAAGTGTAAATATGAATACCAGCTAGGGAGGGTATTAAACTCCTAATAGAGTAGGTATGAACACCTGTTATGGCAGGTATGAACACCTGAAGTGTAGATATGAATACCAGCTAGGGAGGGTTTTAACTCCTAATAGAGTAGGTATGAACACCTGTTAGAGTAGGTATGAACACCTGAAAGTGTAGATATGAATATGTATGAATATGCTAGATTCATAATAGTTAAAGAATATTAATTTATGTTCAATGTTAAAGCATTCAGTTTTGGGTAAGTGAGTTTTCATTGAATTTCATGGAAAATGACTTAGTTTTCTGAGATGTTTTACTGTTATATGCTTGCTAGGATAATTTAAAGGTAATGCATGTTATATTTCTTGAGAGGCTAATAGACTTACTGATGAATTAAGAATATCAAGTTTGTAATTGCAGTTTTTTTCTTGGTTGAATCTGAAATCAAAGTTGACCAATAAAATGCTATATTTAAAACAATTGCATCTTCATGAAATCACCAAATATGCAATGGATTAATATAAGAATGTTTACTAAATGGTGTTATAGTTTTTCAATAAGTTGTACACTGGCTTTTATTCACCATTTTTTATCACTGTAATTAGTTATAGAGATTTTTCACATTTTGCATGTCACACTTGATACATATACATGTATATATATATATATTGTGTATATAGCATTCAAAAACTAAACAGGGTCAGTATCATTTAGCATGTATGATTTTTATATTGATGTTTTGCTTTATATGCATGACATGCTGTATGAATCTGAAAGGATATCTATAAATCAGATGAAAACAATAGAAAGGATAGTTCTTTAATTAACTAATTAGTAATTTGTTTCGTTTCAGTACTTTTCTTTGCTAAAAAAATAATGTATTTGGCCCATAAGCTGATAGTTAATGAAATTTCCTCAACAGAAACAAAAATTAAAGCATCACTATGTATCTAGTGTCTGTATTATATATGATAATTTCAAAACAAGAACTGATAGATCAATCTCATTTATATAGAAACTGGCGGCTCAAAGACAAAGAGGGTTGCCACCTAAGCCGCCCACTCCAAACCACTTTTTCAAGAATATAGGTCAACATGATCGGCAACAACATGTGTTGAATGAAGAACGTAAGAAGGAGTATAATCAAAAATTGGCGGAGGTTGGTATATACTGGCATTAACCCTTACCTTGCTTGAACCGGAAAGTGATCAGTCTCTCCTACGGTATAGAGCATGGCCAGCTCGCACAGTCATGTAGACTGACCATGCTCTATACTGTTGGTAGCTTAATCTTTGTATTTTGATATTGAAATTCCTAAAACTTAAAATGGACTGTTCCAAAACCAAAAGAGGGCAAGTTCATTGCACATATTCAGCAGGTTAATGGTTAACTCATTGACTGCTTCCAATAATAACTTTTCCAATGCCTCAAGTTTAAAGTAGGCCAGTCTGCATGTATGTACAGATTTTGCACTTTTAATCGGACCATATTGTTACCTCATTTAGATATTACAGTATCAAAACCCCTTGTGCTGACAATGGGCTGTTACAATGCAAGTTACTATGTTAAAAAATAAAGGGTAATAAGACCACAGTTATTTATAGCTATGGCTAAATTTTTGTATTTCAATATTGAACACCCTTAAACTTTAAATGGATTGTTTCAAATCCAAAGGCGGGACATACCCATTTTATAAATTTGACAGTCTAATGGTTAATAGTTAAAATCCTTACAAAACATGTAAAATTTTTATGTTATTTAGGAAAGAGGAAGAACTGCTGGTGGTAGAGCAAACTATGAACAATCTACGGGTCTACAATTTGGGAAAGCAGATTCAGCAGAGGTAAAGGCATTGATTGTCTACCCTTGTTTCTCTGATAATTATTCACTGATTATTCCCCTTGTTTTTCACGCTATTTATAGTACCAGATTTTTCAACTCACCTTGTCACAAAATTTCTTCCTCACTAGTATGTAGTACTCCTCTTTGGAAACAGCACTGTTTTAGATAAAAATGATTTATTTTTGTTACCTGGGTTATAATGGTATCATCTGTATAGTAGATCTGTAGAGTGAAATCTGATATAATTCAAGATAAAGAAAATAATGTACTAGAAGTAATTGTAACCATCATAAGGAATTACACATTGGTATATAGAAAACATTGCCAAATAATATTTCTATTGAGGACAGCATTGAGAACTTATAGAGTTCTACAGTTAAGTTCATGTTGGTCACAGTTCTATTATAAATCTAAAACAGTTGCAGCTTCTTTACCACTTACATAAAGTGAGGTCAGCCAGCATAATAACTATGTGCTGTTAAGCAATGCTCTATCTATGTGTCTCTCCAACTTTCATGTTTTCATGGTGTATCACTAAAATTGAAGTTGGACAAGTGTCATCAGTTTATGTTAATAGGAATCCTTACAGCAGTGAAAAATAAGCTTCTTTAACTATGTTTTATACCTAATTAGGACTACAGGAACCACCTTGCAGAACTGTATGGTATTGTTAATTGGTCTGTTCCTTGGTTTGCTCGAACCAATAGTTACTGTGATATTAAACCGTATTCTGTAAGTCTGACATTACAGTGTAGATAGACTGGTCGCATGCTGCAATATTTTAGACTCTACTTCAACAATGAATAATAATTTGTTGAGCCCTCAGTATTTATGCTTGCATTGGGGAACAATGAGTTATAATCTGTTAAGCCCTCAGTATTTATGCTTGCATTGGGGAACAATGAGTTATAATTTGTTAAGCCCTCAGTTTGTATGCTTGCATTTGGTAACAAGGAATAATAATTTGTTGAGCCCTCAGTTGGATGCTTATATTGGGTAACAATGAATTATAATTTGTTAAGCCTTCAGTATTTATGCTTGCATTGGGGAACAAGAATTATAATTTATTAAGCCCTCAGTATTTATGCTTGTATTGGGTAACAATGAATTATAATTTGTAAAGCCCTCAGTATTTATGCTTGCATTGGGTAACAATGAATTATAATTTGTTTAGCCCTCAGTATTTATGCTTGCATTGGGTACCAATGAATTATTATTTGTTAAGGCTTGCATTGGGTACCAATGAATTATTATTTGTTAAGCCCTCAGTATTTATGCTTGCATTGGGTAACAATGAATTATTATTTGTTAAGCCCTCAGTATTTATGCTTGCATTGGGTACCAATGAATTATTATTTATTGAGTCCTCAGTTGGTATGCTTGCTTTGGGTAACAATGAATTATAATATGTTTAGCCCTATATTTGTATACCTGCATTGGGTAACAAATAATTTTAATTTTTAAACCCTCAGTATCCATGCTTATAACCATTCAGAATTTTGAGCCCTCAGTTTGTATACTTTTCTTTGGGGAACAATGAATTAAAGTTTAGAATAAATCAACCCTCAGTTTGCATGCTTGCAATAGATGAGATGGGTAGAACTAATAGATTTTATTTTCTCATGCAAATGATTATCATTGCATCTTTGTCCATAGATGATTACATTTAGTTACAGCAGGTTCCTACCTGTCTTCAAGTCTAAATTTTTGAATGGTGATAATCATTTGCCTAAGCCACAAGTATAAAGTCAGATCAGACTGCTCTTCCATGCAACCTCGGTGTGACCATAAATCTTTGAATATTATCTGTAAACCAGTCCAATCTATGCAGTCAGACAGACTCTTTACATGTGGCTTCACTTTTATTCCTATTAAACACACACCAATTAACCTGGTATCTTTTCTTCTGTTTGTTTGCATGTGTTTAGGTAAGGGTAGGAAAGGATGTGTATGCCACATTGCCAGGTTTACATTATACTGATTCTGCTGAAGTAAGTTTCATTCATTGATTCTTCTTCATAATAAAATATTATGAACATAAAACTGCCAAAAACTATCTGAATAGCAGGCAAGAAAATTGTGATAAGCCTGCTGGTACAAAAAATGATGAGCATTGTCAGCAGTATAGAGCCAGGTTAGCCTAAAAAGCCAGGCCAGCCTGCCATCCCTTCAGCCTGACCAGGGTCTTTATTGTTTGTTGACAAACTTCAAATTTTCATCTTGGTATCCAAAAAATTTATAGTGAACAGTTCTGAAAATAGAAGTTGGACGAGTCTATTTAAGAAATTCAGCAGGTTAAAATGATATCACTGTATACAATTGAATATTGATTGCAGCAAATTGCTATGTCCATGGTCTTTATAATAGATAAAAAAACAAAACAATAACAAAAAACTAAGCCATAAAAAAGTTGGTATACACAGTTTTATTTGAAACATTTGTTGTAAACTTATATTTTACTAATGCACCAAGTATATTCAAAATAATATTTATTGTTATAGTTGGTTATAGATAATAGGCACTTTAATCTACAGTCAAATTTTGGTGAGCAAATTCAGATGTTATGTTCCACTCGTTCCCTAAATACTGTTAAACAGTCAGTAAAACCATAGAAATAGATACAGGCAGACAAATTGGAATTTCTTGTTTCGTTTGACTCTGAGACTTGCTCATTAAAAATTGACTGTAGAAATATTATTAATTTATCATATAACTGCATGACTGTTGTGACGGCTTTATATGTTGTAGGCAAGGAAATTAAAGACGAGGAATGAGGAATATAATGAATTTTTACAAGAGAAAAAATGGAAAGATGCACATAGGTTTGATAATAAAAAACCTGCTTCTTCAAGAGTGAGTGTATTTTCTCTTATATCTATGTGAATAATTACTTCAAAATCATTATTTATTCAAAGGGAACTAAATTTTGTGGTTTTCGTAGAAAGGTCAATCCACGATTTTTGAGAACCAACAAAATTTCATTTTGTCTGCTGTAAGATTTTTTTTGCATCACATTATTTTCATTTTACCTTTTGGAAAAATAAACATTCCACAAATTTAAGAACCCAAGAAAATGTTCTTTGTGACAAAAACATGAAATTTCAGGCCCACTAAACTAAATGAATAGGTAGGTAGGGGAGTTGCTGGTCTGTCTCATAGTTAAACCTAAGTGCCTGCCTTTCAAAAACTGGGATTGTTGAGTTATATACAGCCATTCTTTGGTCAGAAACATGGTACCTACAGTACTGATCAGCTTGGAGGTTAGATGTACATGACTAAAGTAATAACAAGATAAATTATTTTATTATATACATATAAATGAAATATTGAGAAATATTGATGAAATAAAATGCGTATTTTCATTTTCCGTATTTTCACTGTTAAAATTTATTTTTCACTGCAGTGAAACATATTTTCCGTATTTTCACTGGTGTCTTGCCGGACTACTTTCTTTTCAATTTTGCCAGTACACAAAATTTAAGGGAAAGTCTTTCAAATTTTAATGTCAAAAAAGATAAAAATGTATATAATAAACAGAAAATTCAAGTTTTTCTATAAATACATGATTTATTTTCATCTTGTGGCATGAAAATTACCATATTTCACTCGTGGCTACCGCCACTCATGAAATATTTATTTTCATACCACTCGATGAAAATAAATCATGTATTTAAAGAAAAAACTTGAATATCCTCTATTTATTTTTTTCCCCTTTGTTACAAATGTATTGCCTTAAATTGTAACTGGTTAACAGGGTATATTTTGTAAGTTGTGGACTTTTTGTAGGTTATTTGTTAATAATTAGGTTTTATTTGGGAAGGACAGGGTAAGAGAAATTAGAAATTGGTACCTTTATATGAATCTGTGGTAGTGTTGATCATTGGTCATTGGATTAGTTTAAAACTTGGGAATTTTCTTTTAGTTTTAAGTGGCCAGTTTATTTACCAGCCATATGAAATATAAGATGATAGTTCTTTCAACATGACCTATACACAAAAACAAATATTTAAAAATTATTGAAATATTTATGAAAGTTTATCATTTTAGATTAGGATAGGATTTTTGTGGTATTTAGTATTCTGCTCATTTTAGTTTAAATGAATGTTTCTTAAATGTGTGATAGCCTGAAATAAGCATATTGTATTGTATTATGCCACCGCAGCATCTGCGATGCGGTGGCATATAGTGATTCACCTGTGTGTTTGAGTGTGTGTGTGTTTGTGTGTGTGTTATATAGATTATATAGTGAACTTAAAAAATCTTCTTGTGAAAAACCACTAGTCCAATTTCAACCAAACTTGGCAGGATTGTTCCTTGGGTGAAGGGCTTCCAAAGTTGTTCAAAGAATTTCATTCCATGCAGAAATCTGGTTGCCATGGCAACCAAAAGGAATTATAAGAATAAATTAAAAAAATCTTCTTGTAAAGACCCAAAAGGCCTACAGCTTAGATATTTTGCATAAGGCATCGTCTGGTAGACCTCTAACAAGATTGTTCAAATTATAGCCCTGGGGTCAAAATTGGCCCCGCTCCGGGGGTCATTGATTTTCACTATATGTACATATAGGAAAACTTAAAATACCTTCTTGTAAAGACCCAAAAGGCCTAGAGCTTAGATATTTTGCATAAGGCATTATCTGGTAGACCCTTACCAAGATTGTTAAAATTATAGCCCTGGGGTCAAAATCGGCCCCCGGGGGTCATTGATTTTCACTTAATGTACATATATTAAAAGCTTAAAATACCTTCTTGTTAAAGACCAAGAAGGCCTAGAACTTAGATATTTTGCATAAGGCATTGTCTGTTAGACCTCTACCTAGATTGTTCAAATTATAGCCCTGGGGTCAAAATCGGCCCCGCCCCGGGGGTCATTGGTTTTCCATATATGTATATAGTAAAAACTTACAGTAAAAACTTTAAAAAAAATTCTTCTAGCAATTGACAAATGCTAGAGGTTAGATATTTTGCATGAAACATTGTGTAGTAAACCTCTAACAAGATTGTTCAAATTATAGCCCTGGGGTCAAAATTGCCTCCGCCCTGGGGTCATTGATTTCAATATATACATATAGTAAAAAATCAAAAATTCTTATTGTCTGAAGGTACAAGGCTTAGAGCTTTAATATTTGTTAAATAATATCATCTATAGGTACTCTACCAAAGTTGTTAAAATTTTGCCTCTAGTGTCAAAATTAGCCCCACCCCGGGGGCCATAGGTTTTCCTTATATGTATATAGTAAAAACTTAAAAAATCATCTTCTCAAAATTTACAAAGCCTAGAGTTAAGATATTTTGCATGAAACATTGTGTAGTGAATCTCTAGCAAGATTGTACAAATTATAGCCCTGGGGTCAAAATTGGCCCCACCCCCATGGGTCATTGATTATCACTATGTACATATAGTAAAAAGTTAAAAAAATTCTCTTGTCTGAAGGTACAAAGCTTAGAGCTTTGATATTTGGTATATAATATCATCTATGGGTCCTCCACTAAAGTTGTTTTAATTATGTCCCTATTCTCCTTGTGTTAAAATTGGCCCTGCCCTGGGGCAGTGATTCTCATTATGTACACATAGTAAAAACAAAAAATAAAACAAATGTTTTCTGAATGGGAGAAAGCCACAGCTTAGATATTTGACTTGAAATGTTGTTTGGTGGACCTGTACCAAGATTGTTTTGAATTAAACGCTTGGGTCAAAATTTTGCCTTGCCCAAGGGGATAGTGACCTACTTTCTTGTCCTTTGGTGTACAGCAATGAAATTTTGACCATGTGCACAGTTTAAAGTTTGATATCAGGTGACCTAGATTTTAATGATGTGACCTACTTTCTTGTCCTTTGATGTACAGCTATGAAATTTGAACCAAGCGGTGGCATAGCATTTTTCTCAAATGCAATCTTGTATTTTATAGCAGTGTAATATTCAGTTCATTAACTCTGCACTTATGCATGATTATTGATGGTAGATCATGTGCATGGTTACAAATAATTACACACACTATTTAAAAAAAAGAAAAAAAAAAATCTAAATATTTCAACAATTGTTCAAAATCTTCAATAGAAGATACATGAATTCTGAGACATCCTAGAATTATTCAATGCTTCATTACTAAATAAAACTCAATATATACACTAAATTAAGTGGTACATTAAAAAAAATAAATAAAAAAATTGTTTAGTACTATATTGACTTATAATATAAACTACAATAATATAAACTTAAAGGGTGTATATACTTAAATACATAATGCTGTAATACTCTTTGCTTATGATAATGGTTTACACCTATTTGAAATATATAAGATTTTTTTTGTATTTTATTGTGATTGACATATTAACATGTCAGTTTTGTTTTTATTTTCAGAGACACAGTGAGCCTTCCTCCCCAAGGAGCCCACCGGTAAACATAAGATAATTTTATACATTTTCTGATTATATTAGGTTAATTAAGTAATTGTGATGTACTACATTGGCTAAAAGAAGATATTTTTACATTTAGAATGCTAGGGACAATTAACAACATGCCTATAACATCAGTAAAGAACCATTTAAGACTTGACATCTCTGCAGTCTGACTATACTTTATAGCTTTGCCTACACAATTTGGGTATTTTGACGCTGAAGTCATTTGAAATCTAATTGTGACAAGTCCAATATTTAAATTGAACAAGATTTTGGTTTAAAATTTCTTGTATTTATACTTTTGTGTTTCATTAACTTATTTAAGCATCATGCCTCTAGATTCATGATATTTTTTATGAAATTTGAAGGAAAAAAAAATTATTTAAAAGTAAGATATTACTATGTGAACAGAGAAAATAATATATACATTGGAAACGGCACTCGAAATCCACACAAATTACCAAAAAGAGGTCAAAATAAACAAAAATAGCGCTTACTGTGTTATTAACGCAGTAGAAATATTGTGATAAATACTGCAAAATCAGCCCTTAATTGCATGTTACTTTACTCTTGAATCTTTTTACTTTTCTTAAAATTTTAGTACATTTTTGTCATGTTTCATTTTCTTGAAATATCTTGGCTCATCTGGAGGCATGCAGCTTTAAAACTCTAAGCCTGCTGAATTATTATGATTGACTGGTCCTGTATTGAATTAGGAACTGCTCGTTGTAAGTTAAGGGAATTTCAAAATAACAAAGGTTAGAGCCTAATAGAATAGGTATGTGTCAGACTGCCCAGATTTTCAGGCAGGTTTGGATATATACAATTGGTAGTGTAAGATTATAAATCTTTTAAATTCAGCATATCATCACCTTAGTGCAATAATAGGATAACTCCTTATATAATATAATAAGAGTTAACCCAGTTGTTGCACTAAGGTGACAATATGCAAAATATGTAGTGGTATCTCAATTTTAGTTTGATATATCAAATAGTAAGCTTGTATCTGTAGTTAAAGCATAATGATTTTAGAATGTGCTTTAGCAGGCAAAAAATTTCTGGCTAAGGTAAGTAACAATGTCAAAATTTTAAGCATTAGAAAAGCAGTTTTCAGTTCCTTTTAATTTGTCTCAGCATGATTTACATTAAGGAATAAGTACTCACAAAGCCATCTTTGAATTGTGTCTTTAAGGCCATTTAGATGTGTTAGATCCTATGGGTTTTTTGTGTCATATTACAATAAATGGTGAAGAACTATTGCTAAACATTCAGTCAGTTATATAAGATTTTTGTGCTGTTTTGTTGTTACTTTTTCTTAACTTTTTCCTTAAGTCTACCAAATAATGATAGTACTCCTAGGAATTTGGTAGATTTTTTAAGAATTAGACAGATTCTTTGTGCAAAGAATATTTTTTCTTTCAATATTACTAATCTTAAAGTGTATTATATACGTTTATAAGAAAGGCTATGTGCTTTCAAGAATGAATGTTTTCAGCTTATTTCCTATCTTGATCTTCTTTTTTGATTGTCCACCATTTTGTTTGCTTAATAGCGTTGGATTTGTCATCCAGGGGAGGCTAGTTCGATCTTTATGGAGGGCATAATTTCTTCATGACATTTGATCTCGGACATTTAGTCTAATGGTCATTTGCTTCTCACCACTGATTCTGAAATCATGTGGAATTAGTCACTTGCAAAGAAATTGTGAATTACTGGTTAGTTATCCAGGAAAGCTTGGGTTAGGAGGACTGACAGCAGAGCTATGAACACATGATTGTGTTAAAATTGGCTTAAAACACCAGATTAACTAACTTTTTTGATAACAAAATGATTTTTTTTTCTGAAGGAATAATTATAAAATTATGATGTTTTGTAATAAACTATAGGGTAAAAAGAAAGAGTTTGCTACACTGCCAGGATTACATTATAGTGATTCAGCTGATGTAAGTTATCTCAATAACATTTTTCTCTTTTTATAATTTTTTTTTCTCAAATATTTTACATTTTTTTTTTCAAATTTAATTAGCACTCGCATAATTTTTAAATCATTTTTCTTAGGTGTTTGTGTTCTTTATAACTTCTCAGAGGCTAAACTTGTGTTAAAAACAATTCATATAAAAAAATTTCTATTTTATCTGTAAAGATTTTTAGTTTTAGGCAATTAAGTTGTTCTTTTCTTTGTTATTTCTTTAACATTTTTTTTTAAAACAATTTAAATTTTTAATGTTTATTTACACACTGACTGATTAAAAACTAAATATATATTAACACATAACTTAATGTTTGTTAATTATTTGAGTAGATTATACATGTAAATATTAATTTTCCCAGTCTGTCTGAACAATTATTAAGCTATCACTGATGATTTTGATTGTCCAAAACTTGTTTTCAGAAAAGGAAAATGCAAGAAAGAAATAAAGAATATAATGATTTTTTAAGTCAGAAAGTGAGTGTTGTTTGTAGAATTGTTTTGATGTGGACAACCTTTAATCCCAATTCTGAGTTTAATATCCCTTATTCACTGGTTTTTACACTAATTTTTGCACTAATTTTGTTTTTAGCTCACCTGTCACAAAGTGACAGGGTGAGCTTTTGTGATCGCTTTTCGTCCGGCGTCCGTCCGTCGTCCGTCCGTCCGAGCAGACGAGAGCTACATTATGAGGTTTAAGTTTATGTACAGGCACTCTGTATGGTGTTCATTCCGTAGAGACATGTATTATGTGGTTAAAAATGCTCTTATGGGGTTAAAAAATTTTCTCTTGTGGGGTTAAGAGATCAAAGGAATAACCCCACAAACACGTCCTGTGAGAAAGTCCGTCCGTCCGTCCGTAAACTTTTGCTTTAAATGACATCTCCTCATAAACCACTGAGCCAATTTCATCCAAACTTCACAGGAATGTTCCTTTGGTGGTCACCTTTAAAAATTGTTCAAAGAATTTAATTCCATGCAGAACTCTGGTTGCCATGGCAACCAAAAGAAAAAACTTTAAATATCTTCTTTTAAAAAACCATAAGAGCTAGAGCTTAGATATTTGGCATGAAACATCTTCTAGTGAGTGTCTACCAAGTTTGTTCAAATAAAAGCCCTGGGGTCAAAATTGGCCCCGCCCCTGGGGGTCATTGATTTTCCCTATATGCATTTAGTAAAAACTTAAAAATCTTCTTTTAAAGAACCGTAAGAGCTAGAGCTTAGATATTTGGCATGAAACATCTTCTAGTGAGTGTCTACCAAGTTTGTTCAAATAAAAGCCCTGGGTCAAAATTGGCCCCGACCCAGGGGTCATTGATTTTCCCTATATGCATATAGTAAAAACTTAAAAAATCTTCTTTTAAAGAACCCAAAGAGCTAGAGCTAAGATATTAAGCATGAAACATCTTCTAGTGAGTGTCTACCAAGTTTGTTCAAATTAAAGCCCTGGGTCAAAATTGGCCCCGCCCCGGGGGTCATTGATTTTCCCTATATGCATATAGTAAAAACTTAAAAAATCTTCTTTTAAAGAACCATAAGAGCTAGAGCTTAGATATTTGGCATGAAACATCTTCTAGTGAATGTCTACCAAGTTTGTTCAAATAAAAGCCCTGGGGTCAAAATTGACCCCGCCCCAGGGGGTCATAGATTTTCCCTATATGCATATGGTAAAAACTTAAAAAATTTTCTTTTAAAGAACCCAAAGAGCTAGAGCTAAGATATTAAGCATGAAACATCTTCTAGTGAGTGTCTACCAAGTTTGTTCAAATTAAAGCCCTGGGGTCAAAATTGGCCCCGCCCCGGGGGTCATTGTTTTTACCTATATGCATATGGTAAAAACTTAAAAAATCTTCTTTTAAAGAACCATAAGAGCTAGAGCTTAGATATTTGGCATGAAACATCTTCTAGTGAATGTCTACCAAGTTTGTTCAAATAAAAGCCCTGGGGTCAAAATTGACCCTGCCCCAGGGGGTCATAGATTTTCCCTATATGCATATAGTAAAAACTTAAAAAATCTTCTTTTAAAGAACCCAAAGAGCTAGAGCTAAGATATTTAGCATGAAACATCTTCTAATGAGTGTCTACCAAGTTTGTTCAAATAAAATCTCTGGGGTCAAAATTGGCCCCGCACCAGGGGGTCATTGATTTTCCCTATATGCATATAGTAAAAACTTAATAAATCTTCTTTTAAAGAACTCAAAGAGCTAGAGCTAAGATATTTAGCATGAAACATGTTCTAATGGGTGTCTACCAAGTATGTTCAAATAAAAGCCCTGGGGTCAAAACTGGCCCTGCCCCAGGGGTGACATTGTTTTTAACTATATGTGTATAGTAAAAACTTTAAAAATCTTCTTTTAAAAATGCCAATGAGATGTTTAGCATGAAACATCTTCTTATGGGTGTCTACCAAGTCTGTTCAAATAAACAAATAAAAGCCCTTGGGTAAAAATTGGCTCGGGGGTGGGGGGCCTATATACAGGTGAGCGACCTCAGGGCCATCATGGCCCTCTTGTTCATTTTACGCTCACCAGAGCACAATCAGCTCAATGTGAGCTTTTGTGATTGCCCTTTGACCTCATCTTTCCATTCTAACATCTTTCCTTTCTAAATCACTTTGTCAAAATCATCAAAACTTTATAGGAAGATTTCTTGGGCGATCCTTTCTTAAAAAATTCTATTCCACTTAAAGACTTGTCAAAAACCAATTTCCATAGGGGCTGGAGATGTGTTTCCATATTATGGATATCTGGTGAAAACCTTGCAAATATTCTAATAAATTCCAGTGAGCGATACACGGCCATCATGGTCCTCTTGTTTTCTTTACTAATTTCTGTTCTGCTGGCATAAACCATTGTAAAGCAATAAATAGGAAATGTTACACAAAAGACTGTTGGTATTCTTCTTTACTTTCACAGTATTTGAGAAATTGACCTAAGAAGAAAGAAATTAAATAAAGGGACTTAACTTTGCTAAAATGAATTTTAGGATTATCTGCCCTTCTGCAGTGGTGTCTATTATGAAAGTTTCTGTCTGTTGTGTAATATTTTCTTCACAGTGATATTATCTTATTTATCTGTCACAGTGTGCACTTGATTTGCTTTTTGAATTATTCTTGTAAACATAGTTTACTAATTATTTGAATTTATCAATTTATTTGTTACTTAATGCTATGCACATGATTTGCTGCTTACTAATTACAAAATGGACAGGCTTTCAATAAATGATGGTATATTGGTTTTCCTTTCCAGAAAACCCCCAGAGTAAAGTCATGTTTGGTTCCTTATTCAATTTGAGATCGGAATTTTAGCTGTTTACCTGTTTTAAAAGGAACAGTTATTGCATGTTGTAAATAACAATATGAAAACTAATGACACAATTTCTAGGTATGGTGTAATAAACATTGTACTTGGATGTGTTCAGATGCCAAGATTATTGAAGTCTTGACCATGGAGGTTTCTTTTCCCTGTTACTAATTAAAGTGTTATGGTTTGGTATCAATTTATAACATAGTGTAATCACAGTTTATTTATTACCATGTTTTTGGTTAGTTATTTATAGTAATTGTAATTGTAATATACCATACTAATTACTGTATTACTTATTATTTTGTATATTATCATTTTACATTTTACTATAATTGCAGTTTATGTAATATCAGTGTGTTAATGGTTTTATGTAATTTGAATCACTGCTAATGCAGTTTACAAATTACTGTGTTTATGGTTTGATGTTTACAATTACTATTTTTGGCTGAATTACTATTTTTTTGTTTTGTTTTTTTGTCCTATTTTTGTGTTTATAATTTACTTACTACCATGTTTTTGGTTCAAACTGATTATTGTACTTTATAAAATTCTGAATTTATGGTTTGCTAAGTGTTGATACCAAGTTTATTGTAAATGATAAAATATATAAGTTTCAATATTTATAAATTTATGGGGAATAAGTGAATGATTACTTATATATATATTGTCTGTTTATTATTTTCCAAGACTAATGTTCAGGCCATAAATTAAGCAACTATACCCCTTTGTGACATTGAATTTATATGAGAGGTAAGATGTAGTGAATTTTATTGATTGAAGTTTGCATTCTCCTATAGCGGAACTGTCTGTAGCATTCGAAATATGCAGAGTAGAAATAACTGTGTCTGAAAACAGATGCTTTTACACTCGAATGTGAAGGATGATCTTTGTCTGCATGAATAATGTCAGTTGCTAAAAATAAACAATTCTGGATTGTCTTGAGCTGCTTTTGACAAAATATTATACATGTATATATATATTCCACAGGGAAGGGCTAAGAAAGGTTGGTCAACACCTAGTTATGAGGATATCTTAGAGCAGAAGAGAAGGGAAGAGGCCCTAAGAAGGTACTGATTGTTTTTTGTTTTTGTTTTTTTTTTCAGACTCCAATTTATGCTTAAAGTATTGATATAAATCATACTACTACTGTGAAATATATATTGAGCCCTGTAGTATAACAGAATTGTAATAAAGAAATTGACACCACTTATCCCAATAAGGAGAGCATTGTATATGCAGTCAAGGGGTAGCAGGTTTGATCCTCAGATGTGGTGAAATTTCTGTGTGACACTTGATCTTGGACATTTTATCTAATGGTCATTTGTCTTTCACCCCTCAGAATTTTTGAAGAATTACTAGTTAGTCACTTCTAGACAAATTAGTAATTACTGGTTTGTTTTCCTGGAAGGCAAGTTAGGTGGACCAACTGCAAAGATGTTAAAATCGGCCCAAACAAACGAATTGTTGAAATGCTTTATGGAATGTTAGTATTAAATTCTAGTAACAAAATGCCATTAAAAAACTGTATGATAATGATTTGAGCCAATATAATGATTTTGCATCCACGCAAACTGATCAGGATCCATGCTGTTCGCTATCAGTTTCTCTACTTGTTATAGGGTTTGTAAGTGAACAGCATGGATCCTGATCAGGATGTGCAGGCTGGTCTGGATCCATGCTGGTCGCAAACCCACTATGTTGGTTTTGTTGTGACATGGCTCATTTATATTACAGACAAGATGATGACTACGAGCCAGCTGATCCCGGGATGCGACGGTATGCGAGTGAAGGTGCTATAAATAGAATAGAGGTAATTATACATGTTTATGACGTTCTAGAATCATTTACTTAATTTGTATAGGAAAATCCTTGAAATTATATATTTATATTAAATTTTGAACTAAAGAAAATTCTTATCATGTTTATTATGAAACACAGGTAAACGTTGCGTGGCCATGACTTACACTAAACCCCCGTTCCCCCTCTACAACCCAAAACCCTAAAAAAAAATTATAAAAAAAAATTTTTATGACTAAAATATTATAAAGGTATTTTACTCTACTTTCATTTTGCATAGAAATATCACTAGCATCTCAATTATCAGCGCATATATTCATCAATTTTTCACCGATCTTAACAATCTTGGTCTCAAATCTTAGATAAATAAATACTCTTTAAGAAAACAACAATGGCACCTTCGCTGATTATACGTAGCAAGAAATATCCAAGCCCAAACTGTCAACAAATGAAACTCGGAAGAGATCTGATTGCACCGTTTCGGTAAAACTCTCACGAGTAAAACACACTAAATTCACTGTGAAAGAATATTTCTTTGTATTGCGTATTTAAATATGATAAAATTAAGTTATTATTTATAATAATTGTTCAATCAAAGCATCATATGAAACTATAACGCACCTTTTTTCCTATATGTCAAATTCTCATTCCAAAATGAAAGTAAATTGGCACAGCAGAGTTGTTTCCCTTTAAGTATTTTCATTGGTCCGAGGTTTTCCTGTGACCAATGAAAATACTCCATTTGAAAACAATCTGCAGGCCCATTTTACTTTCATTTTGGAATGAGAATTTGACATATAGGAAAAAAGGTGCGTTATAGTTTCATAGGATGCTTTGATTGAACAATTATTATAAATAATAACTTAATTTTATCATATTTAAATACGCAATACAAAGAAATATTCTTTCACGGTGAATTTAGTGTGTTTTACTCGTGAGAGTTTTACCGAAACGGTGCAATCAGATCTCTTCCGAGTTTCATTTGTTGACAGTTTGGGCTTGAATATTTCTTGCTACGTATAATCAGCGAAGGTGCCAGTGTTGTTTTCTTAAAGAGTATTTATTTATCTAAGATTTGAGGCCAAGATTGTTAAGATCGGTGAAAAATTGATGAATATATGCGCTGATAATTGAGATGCTAGTGATATTTCTATGCAAAATGAAAGTAGAGTGAAATACCTTTATAATATTTAAGTCATAAAAAATTTTTTTTTTCATAATTTTTTTTTAGGGTTTTGGGTTGTAGAGGGGGAACGGGGGGTATAGTGTAAGTCATGGCCACGCAACGTTTACCTGTGTTATGAAAGATGTATCAATATTTAGAAGTCACAGCAAATGTTAAAATTTCAATTTCAGTCATTAAAGCTGCATGCCTTGAGAATTTTTACATGTTTATTTCTTATTTTACTGAAATAAAAAACTCTACAGTCTGACCAAGCTTTACCTTAGCTGACTAACTTTCAATTTACATCTTGATTTTCTTAAAATTATGAAAGGTGTAGCTTGTTGACTTATCATGAAGCGTGTAGCTTGTTGACTCATCATGAAGGGTGTAGCTTGTTGACTTATCATAAAGGGTGTAGCTTGTTGACTCATCATGAAGGGTGTAGCTTGTTGACTTATTGTGATGGGTGTAGCTTGTTGACTTATCATGAAGGGTGTAGCTTGTTGACTCATCATGAAGGGTGTAGCTTGTTGACTTATTGTGATGGGTGTAGCTTGTTGTATTATCATGAAGGGTGTAGCTTGTTGACTCATCATGAAGGGTTGACGCTTGTTGACTTATCATGAAGCGTGTAGCTTGTTGACTCATCATAAAGGGTTGACGCTTGTTGACTTATCATGAAGGGTGTAGCTTGTTGACTCATCATAAAGGGTTGATGCTTGTTGATTTATCATGAAGGGTGCAGCTTGTTGACTCATCATGAAGGGTGTAGCTTGTTGACTCATCATGAAGGATGGATGCTTGTATCTATCATGAAGGATGCAGCTTGTTGACTCATCATGAAGGGTGTAGCTTGTTGACTTATTGTGAAGGGTGTAGCTTGTTGACTTATCATGAAGGATGGATGCTTGTTGATTTATCATGAAGGGTGCAGCTTGTTGACTCATCATGAAGGGTGGACACTTGTTGACTTATCATGAATGGTTCAGCTTGTTGACTCATCATGAAGGGTGTAGCTTGTTGACTTACCATGAATTGTGCAGCTTGTTGACTCATCATGAATTGTGCAGCTTGTTGACTCATCATGAATTGTGCAGCTTGTTGACTCATCATGAATTGTGCAGCTTGTTGACTCATCATGAAGGGTGTAGCTTGTTGACTCATCATGAAGGATGTAGCTTGTTGACTCATTATGAAGGGTGTAGCTTTTTGACTCATCATGAAGGATGTAGCTTGTTGACTCATTATGAAGGGTGTAGCTTGTTGACTTATCATGAAGGGTGTAGCTTGTTGACTTATCATGAATTGTGCAGTTTGTTGACTCATCATGAATTGTGCAGCTTGTTGACTCATCATGAAGGGTGCAGCTTGTTGACTCATCATGAATTGTGCAGCTTGTTGACTCATCATGAATGGTGCAGCTTGTTGACTCATCATGAATGGTGTAGCTTGTTGTTTCATCATGAATTTTGCAGCTTGTTGACTCATCATGAAGGGTGTAGCTTGTTGACTCATCATGAAGGGTGCAGCTTGTTGATTTATCATGAAGGTGTAGCTTGTTGACTCGTCATGAAGGGTGCAGCTTATTGACTCTTCATGAAGGGTGCAGCTTATTGACTTAACATGAATGGTGCAGCTTGTTAACTCATCATGAAGGGTGTAGCTTGTTTGGCTCATCATGAAGGGTGTAGCTTGTTTTGCTTATCGTAATGACTTTTTATAAAATACTTACTGATATTTTGTTTTGTTGCCTTCAGGATGATTTTAGAGACAGAGTGCTGGATAAAGAATTTGAAGCAAGGTAAGTTATTTTTTTAATGACTTGAATTTGACACGCTTCTTTTATCTTGAAACATTTATTGAAAAAATGCATAAAATGAAATGCATTAGTAAAGTTATACTGATACATAAATAATAACCAATTGTTTCATCCCCTCTTAGTATTTATGGTTACTAATGACAAAATATAAACAAAGTGCACATGAACTTAACTTTTCAAGAGGCCATAATTTCAAATTCTTGTTTGTATTTTATCCATGCATAATTTGGATGAAGTTTTCACATTTGTTATTGTTTTACTTAATTTGAGAGTGACTATTAAAAAAGAATATTGGCTAAGTGTTGGTTTTGTATGTATATCTTTATTTTGTTCAAATAATAAAAATTTAGGCAATTTTTGGAAATACTGTAAAAAAAATTTTTTTATTTAGTTGAATATCACCCCATAGATTATTGTACGCAACAATCTTTTTATGAAAGATGAAATTAAGCAAAAATTTAAAAATTTACAAAATGTTTTATGTCTAAAGAAAAATGGTCAGAAAAGTCCCTTTTTTTTAAATTTTGGAAATTTTAATTTTTAAAACTTTGGAACTTGAAAGTAAAAAAAAAAATGCTTATGGGTATTGGATAACTAAGAAATGTTAATGTTTTCAAAAAAAAGAAACCCCCTTCTATTTTGATTGGGGGAAAAAATAGCTCATATCATGCCCCTTTAAAATAAACTGTTTTTTGGGTTTAAAGGGGGTGGAAAAGGGGCCTGCAGGTCTGTAGTTACGATTTTATGCCCCCGACTTTAATGTCCCCTCAAATTTTTCCGTGGGGGTGCAATTAGGGGATGAAAATTTTTGGGGGTTTTTGTGTATACAACTTAAATTTTCAATTCACAGATTACAGGTTAAATTTTTACATAGTCCCCTAAACGAAACTCATATTTATAGATTTTGTATTTTAATAAAACCACATTTGTACTTTTCGTTTATTTTGTAATTTTTCCCTAGGCTTTTAGTTACAGATTCAGTGAGACAGCTTTGAGCGGCATATCGTTTTTTTCTTTGTTTTTAGAAATATTATAGATTGCTTTTATAGTTTTACAGAACAGTATACAATAGATGTTGCCTATATATTTATTTATGTGCACTGTTTATTTTCTTTTTATATCTTTGATCCCTCCTGCACTGTAGGAAAGTACGTTTTGATGACGAATTCAGGTCTCAAACCCAAAACCAAGGGGGAATATTAAATGATGATAATTGGTTAAATCCAGATGTGAGGCGAGAACAAGAATATACTCAACTGGTAATAGCATGTTTCCTTTTTCTTCTGTTGCACCTCTTCTTTTGCATTTAATGCGGCCTTCAGCTATTTTTTTCTATTGGAATAACAATTCTGTGTTGTTTCAAACTAAGTATTTCAGCAATTTTATCTTGGAAAAATGCATCACTGTAAGACTTCTTCAAAACAGTGTTCCGAGAACTTTTTATAACATGTTAGTGATGTTCGTGTCTAAATATAAAAAATTGGTAAACAAATCACCCAATTTACTGATAAAAATATAGAGTGCTGACCTTTGGATAAGGGGTATCAAGGGGTTTCCTTATTGTTCATGTTTTTCATTTTCCACCTAAATTCTTTTGTTTTGACAATTATATGAAAGGATTTATCTGAAAATAACATCTTTAATCTTTAGAAAAGCTGAAGGCCTCTTTCACACATACAGTATTTTTACATCTATGATATTATAGTCTAAGGATAGTTTAAAGAATCAAATTTTACATAATAAGTCATAATTTCATTTCATGAAGTTTAATATCATAAACAGATTCTGTTATAATATATTTCTATAAAATACCACCTTTATAAGAAATTATTTTCATAATTAACTGTCCTGTTCATTAAAGGCCTCTGACCTTGAATAATTTCAAACATCAATCATAATTGTGTATATTGTCAATATAATAATTTTTTCTATTTATATAGATAAGAATAAAATTAATTTATCAATTTATATAAAGGTTTGAAAAATTGTTACTTATTATGAATACTACTGTTCTTATTATATTTGTTTTCATTCCTGCTAAATGATGGTCAAATTGTACAGGTTTCACTCTACTTTGGTGTAGGGACACATAATATGTTAAATATTTAAATGTCTTCAACAGGAAAACAAACAAAAAAGTATCTATTTTAATATCTGTAATGCTTTGTTTTGCACAAGTCCAGTATCTTAGAAGAAGGGACAATAATCTTGTTGTCATTTCTTTATCTGATTGAATAAGAGTTCTGTCCCTTTGAAATTGCTTTTCAGCTCTCATACAAGCAAATCTTCATAACATTTGTTCGGAGATATTTGAGCACATCGGGGTGTACTATATCATTGAATGTTAATATGTTTTTTTTTCTTCCCAAAAATTATAACAATTTCTACTATTTGTCTAAACTAGGATACAAATATAGATGGGTTATCTAATGATAAGGTAGTAAAATACTGGTGTTTTATTTTATGTGGTAAACTAAATGTTGTTGCTTTATGTTGCTGAAATTAACACCATAATAGATCATGTTGTACAAAGTATGATAGTACAAGTTATATCCAGTGTTTAAAGGAACTCCACTGACGTCCAAAAGCCTAAAATACACAATTTGAATTTCTAGCATTGACCAATGTGGGCATTTAAAGTAGAAAGATATGTAAATTGTGATAAAGAATATACTCATAATTAAAATGAAAATGGTGACATGTGCTAGTTTCTAGACCAATTTGAAATTAAAGCATTTAAATGCTTTTCATTTTTGTGTCATTTTCCAGAATAGAAATATCTAATCATTTTTGGTCTAGACCTACATCAAATGGTACATGAGTTTTGAAAAAAAAAGAAGAAAAAAAAGAGTAAAAATATTCCTGTCACAGTCGGTACTTTAAAAAAAAACGTCAGTGGGGTCCCTTTGTTGTCTAAGAGTTTGTTACTATGATTTGAAATCAATCTTATTGGTTGTGAATGTTGTGGACATACCTTTGTACTTGAAATAAAATCTGTACTGTAGGGAAATGTGTGCTTAGAATATGTTTAAATTGACTTACAAAAGTTCAAAAGTTAAATGATACATATTTTATAAAATGTATAGTTTTGTGTGCTGTTTTTGAAGTGTTATCATCAAAGATTGAGTTATGTTACCAAAACATTAGTTATCTCCCCTGAATAAAATAAGAATGGCTGCTTCCACCATTATCATGTGATATTCATTTTATTGTCAGTTAAAATTATGTCTTATTTTCAAATTTTAACTTTATTCCCATGATTGCTTCTTTGTGGAAATTTACTGAAGGTATTCAAAATTGGCATTTTAATTCATATAATTTAAAAAAAAAGTAGATAAAAAGGTCCATATGAATTCTTAATGATAATAATGACTTACTTCCACTTCTGTGCCTCTGAGCTTAAGTTTATTGGCTACTTTATAAGGGTACTGTTATATCTAACCCTTAACTTGCTGAGTTTCATAAATGGACTTGTCTGTGTTCTATTTTTAGAACAGTCCATTATCAGTATTTGGGGACTTGTCAGACTGCAAAGATGTGCAGGCTGGTTTGGCTCTATACTGATCTTATTACTTTCTGTTTCAACAGTTTAAGGTTAAATTCCTGAAAATCAACAATGAATTTCATATATTTGTGGAGGCAGCAAACTCTAAAGGAAAGATGCATTGTTTTTTATTGAAGTCTGAATATGCTGAAACAATGATTTAATTTGTCACTGTTTGAATTAATGCAATAAAGTTTTGAAGTTTGAAGTTGAAGTATGAATTGTTTATCTGTATTAGGTGGCTAAAATTAATGAGGTAAGGCAGTTGTGCATTTGAAAATGAACTTTAATTGGCCAGTCATTTTCAGTAACAGTCACGCTAGAGTGGTTTCACAAATATCGATTTGTAATGACGTAGTACCCTTAATGACAGTGGGTGATTTCGGAGCAGTTATACATGAGCTCTACAGACCAATTACAAATATTGGCCTATACTAAAAGAGGAAACGCCTTAAAGGGTTACTTTGTCCATGTTTTGAGGGCTCCTTAAGGGGACCTATTATCCATTGCTATGTAAATATGATAATATTGTCTCTTGCAAAAATTTGTTTGTCTCCATTTTTGTGACCCCGGAGTGCCTGTTCCAATGTGTGATAAGGTTATTTCAATGATTGTTTTGGAAAAAATTGCAGACTGAGTAATTTTGTTCTTTTGCTCCGTTCATATAGTAGCAAAGTGACATGATTTAAAACATCATAATATTATTGTGCTGACCAGAAATAACCTATTGTCATTATGGGTCTTTAATAACTTTAAATAGTAATTACAATGAAAGATTAACAATGATCACATGTCAGATGTAAATTTTATATGATCACATATATCTAAATGATCACATATTATATTTGAATGATCACAGTCATTTAAAGGTTATTTGCTTATATAATCACAGTCAAAATGATCTCATGTCTAAATGTTCACAGTCATTCAGAGGTGATTTGCTTAAATGATCACAATGATGTAATTTTAATGATCACAATGTCTAAATGATCACAGTCATTAACTTATGATTTGCTTATATGATCACACATAATTTTTAAATGCTAAGTCATTTTGATTGTAATTTTCCTAAATGATCACATATAATGTCTAAATTTGCACTGTCATAATGCTCATATAATAATGTTTGAATGATCACATTCATTTAGTTTAAAGCTTGAGTGATCACATATATTATGTTGTTCCTTCACTATTGACTTAATATGTACTAATAAAAAACCTGTCACAATTATCATTATAGCCAACAATTATCATCAAAGCCAACAATTATCATCAAAGCCAACATTTATAATTGTAGCCAATAACAATTATTATAGCCAACAGTTACTTTCAATTAAAACTTTCAATACAGGTTTTTCCATGAAAATATATGTCCTTTAAATTGTCAAAATTATAAAATCATTTTTAGCTCGACTATTTGAAGAAAATGAGAGCTATTGTAGTCGCCCTGGCGTCCGAGTCGGCGTCTGTGTTGGTTAAAGTTTTTAGTAAAGTCTAATATCTCAATTATTGCTTGAGATATTCAATTGAAACATACAATACTTATTTATAGTAACAATGTTCATCAGATTGACATGTTGGATAACTCTGCCTACAATATTTACAGAATTATGCCACTTTTTAACTTAGAAATTTTGGTTAAAGTTTTTTGTAAAGTCAAATATCTCAATAACTATCAAAGATTTTGATTTGAAACTTCTCATATGCATGAAGGGTCATAATTGTATGTCACTGACTAAGTTCCATAACTCTATCTTGCATTTAGGCTGATTTATCTCCCCTTTTGTACTTAGTCTCTTGGTTAATGTTTACATGGAAGTTTTACATATCTCAATAACTATTAAAGATATTTATTTAAAACTTTACATATGCATTTAGGGTCATAATTGAAGGTCACTCACGGACCAAAATCCATAATACTATCTTGCATTTAGGCTGATTTTTCTCACCTTTTTCAACTTAGAGATTAATGGTAAAGTTTTGCTTGTAAGCTGTTATCTCCATATTAACTACTGAAGGGTTTTTGCCTTTTTTTTGGGACAATTTTATGCATTCATAATAATAAAGCAGTGATTTACTTGATAAAACATCTTAATAACAAGCCTTTGTACCTTTTAGGTCAATTTTATGTATTCATAGGTAAGCATTATTATACTCAATAAAATACCCTTGTGACAACTTTTTCGAATAGTCGAGCCTTACTGTCCTCAGACAGTTCTTGTATTAGAAAGGGTAGCAACTTCATTAATTTGGCAGTTACTGGCTGGTAACTCACAAGTGGTTTTTAAAGACAGATTTTACCGTAATCAAAAATTGAAATATATTTTACATGACTTTACTTTACAGGATTATTTCGGTATTATAAATAAAAAAAAATAAAAAAAAATTAGAAAAGAACTAAGAAATTATCAGCGAATATTATTTGAAAAGCATTCGTAAAAAAACACATTCAGTCAGAGTTTTCAGACTTTTTACACTTAATTTACAGTGGGAATAGTTTATGAATTAGAAATACACAAAACATGTAACTTTTTACATATTTATTAGAGGTGGGGTTAAATTGAGAAACTTTCAATTTTAACTTTTTCCAATATACATGCAATTATTTAAATTTGGCTACTTAAAATTCCTGTTTAAACTTCTATCGACCATAGATACGTAGGTAATATTTTGGTGTAGTGTTTGTACAGATTTAAAACTTATACTTTCAATACAAGGGAAATTTGGTAAATTCTGCCAACTTCCTATTAACTGAAAAATAGACTTAATGTGTAGGTTCTTTAGAATAATTAAATCCTTTAAACAAATAAATGGTTTCAGATTACTGAATTTTTCGTAATTAAAGTTACAGACATTTTTTTTTTTACCTTTTGATATATTATATACTTTAAAAAATCATATGTACATGTATTAGAAAAATTACAAAGTGAAGGCAAAAAAAAATCTTTTTTGAAATTTGAACTGAAATTTAAAGATTTTTTCTATGTTTTAACAGAAATTTTGCTCCAGACTTTATATTACGTTACAAAAAAGTCTGCATAGTTCGGCAAATTGGGACAAATAAATATATAAAACCAAGTTTAGAATTATAAAGATTTTCAATTTGTAACTATTGAGGAGGAAATATTTCTGTAATATACATTAAGTAATGGAAATATTGTTGAATTTTAAAATTTTGGATAAAAGATAGTCAACTATTAAATGTCAATACACATATCAAACTATTAAAATTACTAATAAAGAATTCAAAATAGCACTGTAATTTCAATTGAGGTTAAGTCTATAATATATTTTGCTCATTTCTTTTGATATAAATAACTAACCGTTGTTTTGTTTACAAATAATTTAAGTATGGTTTCAGCCCTATGAAATATTCGCTTGTCTAAGTATTTGTCAATAAAAACCGATCAATATTGTACTGTCTACTGATAAATCACATAAGGAGCATTTCTGAAGTTTATTTATCGGTGCTATGTATGCGTGTAACGAATATAAACAGATCAAAACACGGCTAGATTAAACGTAGGTAAACTTTAAAAGGAAAGACATATATAATTCAATGAGTTATTGATTGATTTACCTATATCAACTGTAATTTAACGGTCTACCTGTACCATGTACGTACAGTGGAATCGTTGACCTATCGAGAAACCTGTGTACACAAATAAACGTCTTATACTAGTATTTCTCCTATTGAACAATTGTTTAACTTTACCGTCTTGGATTTCTTTAAAGAAAATAGGCTATTGGCACCGGAACAAATTTAAGTTTGAAAGAAATTACAATGTATAATCTTGTTTGGTAATAATCTATTTTTAGAGGCTCTCCATTAACCATAATGCAACATTTTTTAACAAAATATAGAATTGTTTTGGATTATTTTATTGATTTGTGATAGTGATTGATTTAGTTTTGAAAGGTGAATTATATAATACAGGATTTAAAAAATAAGGTTTAAATTGTGTTGATTATATACTAGCCACTTTGAATGCATTAAATCCTGTGATCACGGCAGTTTGATAATTCTTGTGTTATAAACATGTAGAAAGATTTTAAGATTACCCGGTTTTTAAGCTCTATAGCGTGAACAATAAATTAAACAAGACCGGACTGTAAAAATATTGTCATTTTGTATTTTATTAAAAACTGTGAAAGTGATATAAAATTGGACTTTTACTTTGACTATACACAGTATGAAAAATATGAAAAATATGTTTATAGTGTATGGCATGAAAATTGACTTAAAGATGAATTCAGTAACTTGAAAATTGGAGTATATTTTAAATAAGAATAGGAATTTTAGTTGTGAATTATAAACAAAATTATTATCTGTGTGACATTTCGTGAAAAATAGTTATTGTGTAAGCTTAAAGGAATATAAGATAGAATAACTTGTTGTGTTATAATATTGTGGTTTATGTGATATTCTGAAGAGGGATTATTAATTGCAATTTCAATTCTTTAGAGTGAACAAGTTAAAGAGGAACCAGATATGGCAGCCAGAGTTCGGCAACAACCATATTTAGCGAGCTTACCAGTCGGTATGTATTTGTCTTTCTTGTATTTTATATACAATTTTATTTTATTTTTGAAAGAGTGTGTGGTTTTATTTTGATTTTTCTTAAAAAATTTAACGAGCTGTTGCTTTAAGGAGTGATATTTTTGTTGAGATTTTGGTTATTTCTATTACTTGGGGTAATTCACTAGTAATAGAGATAATTGTTTTCTAATAAATATCATTTTTGCTCTTTAATGAGTAGATTTTATGGAATCTTGAGACTAAATCTCTTAGGTTTTGGTAATGAAATTTTTAAAGAATACAAACTTGCCTTGAATTTCATTTAGTGGAATCTTAAAAATGTATAAAAATTAAATGCTTATCAAAGTCTTTCCAGTTCCTTAGGTTAACCCCACCCCCTCCTCATAGAAACAGGTAAAGGCACATATCTGATGTTTTGGTAATGGGGATGAGAAAAGTATGGCTGACAAACTATACTAAAACAAAAGTATTTCAAATTATCAACACTTAATTTGTTATACTGGATTTGCCCTAACTGTGAATATTGACATTCCAAGGGATTTCCAAAAGTTAAAAAAAAACTCTGAGCTATCAACAGTATGCATCAAACTGCATGGATGTGCAGTCTTGCTTTGCTTTATACAGGTGGCAAAAGATAATCACTTCCAGTCCTAGCAGGTTAACAAAATAATAATCTAAATAATTTTCTGTAATATAATAGAACAGAACAGAAAATTTATTTGTCTAACTTGAACATTTACAGTTCATTGTTACATACATACATACATTTATTTACATACATGAAGTAATGTGACATTTTATATAACATATTAATAGATTATTATGTACAATTAATACATATATATAAATATATTGCTGTATTTAATTTCTTATTCATTTTTTTTTTTTTTTTTTTTTTTAAATATATTTAAATCATATATTTAAAAAAAAAAAAAAAAAAAATGAATTAGAAATTAAATACAGCAATATATTTATATATATGTATTAATTGTACATAATAATCTATTAATATGTTATATAAAATGTCACATTACTTCATGTATGTAAATAAATGTATGTATGTATGTAACAATGAACTGTAAATGTTCAAGTTAGACAAATAAATTTTCTGTTCTGTTCTGTAATATTATACAGGCCTAAGATACCATTGATCTGTCTTATATACATATATTACACTCTTCCAATTAAAAAAGCATATCATTTTTTGCTTAGGCAGATTTGAATGTGATTTAAAGAATGAATTGGTTATTTCACACATGAAGGATAATTGTGAAGTACATGTAAACTTAAGCATCTCAAGATTCTTCGCAACATGGTCGTAACTTGTTATATTTTGTCTATTGAGATATGACAGTGTTACATTATGCCATGCCATTCCCATTCATCTCTATGTATATGCTTAGTGCATGGTTACTATAAACTTTATTTCATTTTCTTTAAATTAAATAAATGAAGGGTATAATTTGAATTTAATGTGAATATATAGGTATGATTGAAATTATATATATGTATTCATTTATAAAAGGCATTACTCTATCCGATGAAAAGATAGTCAGTAAAGATAAGATTTTATGGCTCCCTTCTTTGATGGAAATTATCATGAAAATAAAAATTTCAATGATTCATATTTCATTTTCTAATTTGTTTACACTTGCTGCATTCTTCACATGGCATGTAAACAGATATTTATATTCTATCCTGATCTCCATTTGACATTTTGAATTAATAGGTTTTGATTTATTTTTGAGAAAACAAACCTTTTATACCAGAATTAAAATTTATATACAATTTGTAATGGAGCAACTTTTAAATTGTACATTTATTGTCTTATTTAAAACAAAAAATGGAAATTCTAAAATCGTACACTTATTATCTTAATGTCAACTTGACATTTAGAATAAAAGGAAAAAATTATATATAATGTCGTAGAAAATTTGGATTTTACCCAGTTTTGGCCTGTGAAGTGTTAGTAACTGATAAATTTAAAATATTGTGAAAACAGACTGAGAAAAAAGGAATGGGTTAAACTTTCTTCACATGCTCATTTTAAGATTATAAATATCAAGACTCTAAAATTAATTTCAAAGGAAAAATAGTTTAGTGAAATAAAACAGTGATTTTAAAATATCTGTAAAGTAAACATTACTACAGGTACTAAATTTCTAAAATTTTAAATGGATCTTGTTTTGCTACATGGAATTTGCTTGACAGCCAGCGGTGTAATTATATGCCCTTTTTCAGTGCTTGGCTATAAAATGTATTACACATGTTTAATGTTTTTCTTAAGATTGAAAAAAAATGCACAAATTCATGGCATCATATTTTTGGTCTTATAAATAAAAAATCCTATTTTCTCTATTAAAAATTTGACATCATTATGTTTTGCTGGGAACTATGATGTCATAAAGGTTGGTTCTTGTAAGCTTTGCTGAAAAATACAATGTTTTACTGAAAATTAAGGCATCATAATATTTGACATACTCATGACATTGTTATTTATTATACAATGATAACTAGACACAGCCTCTCTCTCATGTACAGGTGGCGCCCCCGGACTAGGTGTTGGTAGGTTACTATATTCACTTTATATATACAAACGTACATCTCTTGTACATTATATGTTGTACAGCTGTTGTTGAAAGTTGTTCTATATAATTAAAGTCTCAAAATGCTATTTTTTGACTGGCCCTTTCGTTTATACTATAATTATTGAAAAAATATTTTTAGTATATTCATGAATGTAATCAAATTTCAATAATTTCATGACAAAATTTATTATCACAGTCATCATCATCACAATCATCATCATCATCACAATCATCATCATCATCATCATCAAAGTCATCATCATCATAGTCATCATTATCATCATCAAAATTTTGCCAGAAACTTTCATTAAGTAAATCATGCTAATTAAAAAACTACTTTTATGTAACTGTATACACACTTCTAGCTGACTAGATAGTTTTTGCACTGTAATCTGTTTTTGTCATGTAAAAAAGTACCATTGTTAATCATCTAAACCTCATTACTGTTGAACATCACAATTTCAATTTTTTTCTTCAAAATTTCAAATGAACCTTGGCATCATAAATGATTTTTAAGTACACTATACAGACGTATGTGACTTAAAAATACTCTGCATTATTCATAATGGCTATCTGCTTATATTGAAAGATGCTCAGTGTATTTGAGTTAACACTGTTACTTTTTATGTTGTTTTTAATGTTGTCTGTTTGTGCATGTGATTTTGTATGCATTATACATGTATATATGAGTTATGTTGTTTGAATGTTGTAGCATGTTAGTTTATGTTGTTGGGTTCTCTCTTCAGCTTATGTTCTCTATAACCTTGTTGAATTCTTCTCAATCTTAATTTGTTATTTCATTTTGTTGTATTTTAAGTTATGCCACACTGTAACAGTCATATGGTGACTTGAATTCTGCTTTACTGCCAGAGGAATAGTTGCCTTCTGTGCATTATTTCAGGCACAAGCAGGCACCTGAATTGAGCCACCAACTTTACATAAGATAGCTGGAAAGCTTACTCATGTTATAGAATTAGAAGTCCCTGATGGGATTTGAACCCACAGCTGTGAGGGAGAAAATGATTTGAAGTCAGCAGCCTACACCACTCTGCCAGGAATGTCTTCTCTATCTTGATAATCATAGTGTTCTTATAAGTTAATATTATCTAGTTTTATATAAGTTTGTAGGCCAGTAATATAAGTGTTTGTTCCATCATACTTCTAGGTTTTTGTTGCACCAACATTGCTAGATAATGTCTTTAATTATATAGATTCAGTGCCAGATAGGTATTTTGTTCTACAGACCCTTTTATATCTATTCAAAAATGTTTCAAAAATTAAGAGGTAGCCTAGTGGTTAATGTGTCTTGCCTGTTATCACAGGGATCAAATCTTTACACCTACAGAAGTCCTCAGTAGCGATGATGTCTATGTACATCTATGATCTATATATGTAATGTTTGTTTGACAAAAGGAGGTCTGTGTTGTTAAATTTTGTTCCTTCTCTTAATAATCAAGTTTCCATTTACCTTTTAATTAGAGATATTAGAATTTATGTTGTGAAATTTCATGTCTGTCTTGTGAAGACTATGATATATAATCTGGCTGAATATTTTATATTGTCATGTCACAGTAGCTCAATAGTGATTTATTTATTTATTATATTGTAACATTTATTTTTATGGAATGTAACATACTCTGTTTTAAATATTCTTATAATTATTATGTATAATATCTTTGAAATTATTGTCAGAAAAATAGGTAAAGAAAAATTTATATCCTTATGTGACTGGTCCGTCTGCTTCTTTTAATGCCTGTCTGCTTTTAATGTATTCAGTCCGTCTGCTGATGTTTTTTTTCTATCTTGCTAGTATGCCATGTGTAATCAGTAATTCAGTTCTTCAATCATGTTCAATTTGTGTGCTTTGGTGTAAGACAGACATAAAAATAATGAAACATTTTTTTACAATTTATTATAGTTTTATACAGTAACTTAGTCATTAATTATATTATTAAAGTTTATTAACATAACATTGAAATAATAGTAAAAAAAATCTTTGGGTTGTTATTTTAGTTTATGACATTATTATTAAGTTAGAGATTTGTTAAGGATAAATTATGTTTAACAGGAATTGTAATGCATCTTGCAGAAATGTTTTGTTACATCAATACGATAAGAATGATCAGTTACGACAGTGTAGTTTTAAAATACAATATACAATGATTATAAATTAATTTATGATTATCACCGTGAGAAAATGTGCTCCATACAGCTATCATGTTTATTGAATACCAGAAACAAAAAAAAATTGTATTCGAAATTCCAGGAACAATTTAAAAAATAGGAAAATTCAAAATTTTTAAAATCTTGATTATGATTTAGCTTTCTAGTTGGCACAGTAGCGAGCAATTAGTTAATACTTCATAAATTACAATGTACGTGTGGCATGTCACCAGTATCTGGGGAAATATGGGAAATATAGTTTCATGCATATTTAATAAGATACATAGTCTGGTATGTCCACGTGACACGTTATCCCCAGATATTGCACACGTAAACATGCTAACATTTTCCAATCAATTGTTATTATTCCATTAGCCTTGCTCTCTCATGGGCAACCATGATGTAGAATGTTTATTTTCATGTTTTAGTATGAAATTTAATGTTCCGTGTCAAAACAATTGACGTCTGCAGGTAATAATGTACTGTGGTTCATGCTTAAAGAGAATCTAGCGGCAAAATTTGATAAATGATCCGCGTCACGACAAAACCAACATAATGCGTTTGCAAACGCATCATGTTGGTTTTGTTGTGACGCGGCTCAAATATAAAGCTTTAATGTTTAAGAATAATGGCCTCTTTAGTTTTCAAAGGGAATCTATAAATAGATCGAAAGTGTTTGATGTAAAATTATTCATCTACTGTCTGTGTATAAACTAATGGTGTTCTGAAATTGTATTTACCATCGTTTCAGATAAATTGATACATTACTTTAATTATAAACAAAACTTTTACATAAATAATAAATGAATAAAGAAAGAAAGAAACAATTATTTTGTGATGATGACATAAATGGGTTTTTTATGCTACTGAATCAGAAAAAAGTTCTTTCTTTTGCTTGTTATTTTTCTAAAAGGCAATGAGAAAACAATGATATTGTTAAGATAATTAATTGACTTAAATTGAGGTTCATATATACCATCTTTAAAAAGGAGATTCTTTAAATAAAAAAGACCCGAACAAATATAATGATATCACAATTTGTTAGAAGTTAATTTAAATAATGGCTAACATTGTTTTGATGGTAGACCGTCAGTGCCTCCCCTGAATATTTACCATAGTTTTATCATGCATGGAAGAGCATAACTAAATGTTAGTATTTTGCTCTAAATCTTGTGATATAATTTTACAGGACAAGATGAACGAGAAAGTGCTAAAAGGAGACGACAGTCAGAGCTGCGGCGAGAACTGCAGCTTCAGATGGAGGAAACAAAGGCAGCGAAAAAAAGGTGTGTAATAACTATGTTTCTTTTGTGATTAAAAGATGTTCATTAGTAAACATCACTGACCAAATTTTTTACAAAATATATTAAATCAAGAGGTAATGCCCAATATATTGTTGAGCATTGTGCAGAGTATGTTTATTTTATATTTAAAACAAATAAAATTCAGCTAAATTCACGGTATTATGCCATTATAACAATTTGTGAATTTTTATGTCGATTTGCCCCTGTCCTTCCTGCAGTCAGTAAATAGACCGATGTGTGTCATTATTAGCTCCTAAAAGTATAATTACTTCAGCCACAGGGGCGGATACAGAACATGGTTTCCTGGGGGGGCTGACATATGGGTGGACGAATTTGACAAACATAATGCAACAGGCGAAAATTGAAGATTGGTCCAGTATCTTGTTCATGTGACAAAAATTGTAATTGATGTGTTTTATAGCTCATCTTATGAGTGGCAATGCGTTTTCTTTATATATGAGTATACTAATGTTTTTTAACCAGGTTTTCCGAAGGAAAAAACTGGTTATTAGATTGAGGTATGTCGGCGGGCGGATGGGCGGACGGGCGGGAGGGCGTAAACAATTTCATCTGTGCGCGACTCCTCCTACATTTCTTAACGGATTTTGACCAAACTTTCACAGAAGCTTTGTCATCAAGTGACCTTGCGCATATTGTCAGGGTTTTGTGATTGGATAATATTTGACCTAATTATAGCCCTTTGATTTTTTTCCTTATATAGAATATATAGTGAATAACTTCTTCTGTGCCCAACTGTTCCTACATTTCTCAATGGATTTTGACCAAACTTTCATAGAGGCTTTGTCATCAAGTGCCCTGGCGCATATTGTCGGGGTTTTGTGATATGATAATATTTGACCTAATTATGGCCCTTTGTTTTTTTTCCTTATATAGAATATATAGTGAATAACTTCTTCTGTGCGCAACTCCTCCTACATTTCTCAATGGATTTTGACCAAACTTTCTTAGAAGCTTTGTTATCAAGTGCCTGGCACATATTGTCGGGGTTTTGTGATTGGATAATATTTGACCGCATTATGGCCCTTTGTATATTTTTTCCTTATACAGAATATATAGAGAACAATTTCTTCTGTGCTCAACTCCTCCTACATTTCTCAACGGATTTTGACCAAACTTTCTTAGAAGCTTTGTTATCAAGTGCCTGGCACATATTGTCGGGGTTTTGTGATTGGATAATATTTGACCGAATTATGGCCCTTTGTATATTTTTTCCTTATACAGAATATATAGTGAACAATTTCTACAGTGCGCAACTTCTCCTACATTTCTCAATGGATTTTGACCAAACTTTCACAGAAGCTTTGTCATCAAGTGCCCTGGCGCTCACTAAATTCCCATGTTTCTTCCAAGACATCATTCAAGTATTTTTTTAAAATTATGAACATACTTTTCTTGATATCGCACAAAACACCACACGCCAATATTGTTGACAAAAGAAAATGACAAGAGACGCAAAAATGCAAAAATTAAGCAAAAATAAAGTACTGTTTACCTTTCTAAAACATTTGGGAAAAAAAGGCGAATAGACAACATAAAATTTCTCAATCATTTTTGTTTGAGGAATATTAAAAAAGCCATAATTCCTCCTAAAAGTTCAATTAAAAACAAATGCCCCTTCATGACAAAGCTTCTGTGAAATATTTTGCTGAAAACCTGGTTGCATCGCATTGCGATGTTCCTTGTTTATCCAGTGCCCTGGCGCATACGTGGGGTTTTGTGATTGAATAATTTTTTATTTAATTATGGCCTTTTGTTTTTTTTCCTTATACAGAATACAGTGTAACTTCCGAATTCCGGAACTTCTGAAATCCGGAAACTTCTAAAAACCGAACAATTTTTTCGGTCCCGATTTTTTCCCTTCTATTTTCTATTAGTATAATACTTCTGAATTCCGGAACTTCTAAATTCTGAATTCCGGACGATATTTTCGTAAAATTAGAGTCAAATCAATGCAATTTTACCTCCAAAAACCGGAAATATCCAAAGGTGAGAAATACATTGTAATCCCTGCAGGAAGATTTAATCTCCCTATCGATTGTTTACTAATTAGCGGTGATCGTGTAATTTGACACGCGTTAAAATCACAAACTGTGAAATGGTATGATTGAAGTGATGCGGTTAATCAAAGTAATTTACGGCGGTCCGTTAATTTGAAGTGTTTATTAGCGGATTAAATGACAATTAATTGGACAATGTATGCATCAAAAGTCTTTAGGGATTTTATTGCATTTGATGTAATAATTAATTAACTAGCTTCGGACGATATGTAAGTTTATGCAATTAACAACATTTCTACAAACTGATAGAAGTTCAAAAGCATTTGCAAGTAAGATAAAAATGTATTCTTTTCATTCACATCTTTATCTTGATTAAAAGACTATTATATATGATATTACAGTAAAGGCCACTTCTTCCTTGACATTTAGTGATATTAAGTGGCTTAGTCTTGTCCGCATTATCATAAACCTCTGAATTCCGGAAACCTCTGAAATCCGAACTTTTTGACAAGTCCCATGGGTGTTCGGTTTTCGGAAGTTACACTGTATAATTATAGTGAACGATTTTCTGTGCGCAACTCCTCCTACATTTCTCAACGGAATTTGACCAAACTTTCACAGAGGCTTTTTCATCATATGCCTTAGGGCATATTGTCAGGGTTTTGTGATTGTATAATATTTGACCTAATTATGGCCCTTTGTTTTTTAGCTCACCTGTCACAAAGTGACAGGGTGAGCTTTTGTGATCGCTTTTCGTCCGGCGTCCGTCCGTCGTCCGTCCGTCCGTCCGTCGTCCGTCCGTAAACTTTTACTTTAAATGACATCTCCTCATAAACCACTAAGCCAATTTCATCCAAACTTCACAGGAATGTTCCTTTGGTGGTCACCTTTAAAAATTGTTCAAAGAATTTAATTCCATGCAGAACTCTGGTTGCCATGGCAACCGAAAGAAAAAACTTTAAATATCTTCTTTAAAAAACCCTAAGAGCTAGAGCTTAGATATTTGGCATGAAACATCTTCTAGTGAGTGTCTACCAAGTTTGTTCAAATAAAATCCCTGGGGTCAAAATTGGCCCCGCCCCAGGGGGTCATTGATTTTCCCTATATGCATATAGTAAAAACTTACAAAATCTTCTTTGAAAGAACTCAAAGAGCTAGAGCTAAAATATTCAGCATGAAACATCTTCTAATGGGTGTCTACCAAGTTTGTTCAAATAAAAGCCCTGGGGTCAAAATTGGCCCCGCCCCGGGGGTCATTGATTTTCCTTATATGTGTATAGCAAAAACTTAAATAATCTTCTTTGAAAAAACCCAAATAGCTAGAGTTTAGATATTAAGCATGAAACATCTTCTAGTGAGTGTCTACAAAGTTTGTTCAAATAAAAGCCCTGGGGTCAAAATTGGCCCCGCCCCGGGGGGTCTTGATTTTCCCTATATGCATATAGTAAAAACTTAAAAAATCTTCTTTGAAAAAACCTAAATAGCTAGAGTTTAGATATTTGGCATGAAACATCTTCTAGTGAGTGTCTACCAAGTTTGTTCAAATAAAATCCCTGGGGTCAAAATTGGCCCCGCCCCAGGGGGTCATTGATTTTCCCTATATGCATATAGTAAAAACTTAAAAATTCTTCTTTTAAAGAACCCAAAGAGCTAGAGCTAAAATATTCAGCATGAAACATCTTCTAATGAGTGTGTACCAAGTTTGTTCAAATAAAAGCCCTGGGGTCAAAATTGGCCCCGCCCCGGGGGTCATTGATTTTCCTTATATGTGTATAGCAAAAACTTAAATAATCTTCTTTGAAAAAACCCAAATAGCTAGAGTTTAGATATTAAGCATGAAACATCTTCTAGTGAGTGTCTACAAAGTTTGTTCAAATAAAAGCCCTGGGGTCAAAATTGGCCCCACCCCGGGGGGTCTTGATTTTCCCTATATGCATATAGTAAAAACTTAAAAAATCTTCTTTGAAAAAACCTAAATAGCTAGAGTTTAGATATTAAGCATGAAACATCTTCTAGTAAACATCTACAAAGTTTGTTCAAATAAAAGCCCTGGGGTCAAAACTGGCCCCGCCCCAGGGGTGTCATTGTTTTTAACTATATGTGTGTAGTAAAACCTTAAAAACCTTCTTTTAAAAAACCCAATGAGCTAGAGCTTAGATGTTTAGCATGAAATATCTTCTTATGGATGTCTACAAAGTTTGTTCAAATAAAAGCCCTTGGGGTGAAAATTGGCCCTGCGGGGGGGGGGGGGGGGGGAGTGGTAGGGGGGTGATGGGAGGCGGGTGAGATCATTGTTTTTTATTACAAATGTGTAGTAAAAACTTAACATTGTGAAACTTCTTCTAATGAGTGTCTTCCAAGTTTGTTCAAATAAAAGCCCTGGGGTTTCAAACTGGCCCCGCTCCGGGGGCCTATATACAGGTGAGCGACCTCAGGGCCATCATGGCCCTCTTGTTTCCTTATACAGATTATATAGTGAACAATTTTTACCATGCGCAACTTCTCCTACATTTCTCTACAGATTTTGACCAAACTTTCACAGAAGCTTTGTTATCAAATGCCCTGGCGCACATCATCGGGGTTTTGTGATTGGATAATATTTGACCTAATTATGGCCCTTTGTTTTTTTCCTTATACAGATTATATAGTGAACAATTTTTACCATGCTCAACTTCTCCTACATTTCTCAACAGATTTTGACCAAACTTTCACAGAGGCTTTGTCATCAAGTGCCCTGGCGCACATTATCGGGATTTTGTGATTGGATAATATTTGACCTAATTATGGCCCTTTGTTATTTTTCCTTATACAGAATATATAGTGAAAAAATTCTTTTGTGCTGAACTCCTACATTTCTCAACGGATTTTGTTCAAACTTTCACAGTAGCTTTTTTATCCAGTGCCCTGGCGCATACGTGGGGTTTTGTGATTGAATAATTTTTTATTTAATTATGGCCTTTTGTTTTTTTTCCTTATACAGAATATAATTATAGTGAAAACTTCCTCTGTGGCAATTCCTCCTACTTTATTCATGTTTTACATTGCACATAGTTACATTGTTTGTTGCTTGTATTTGTATTTCAAATACAACATATTTATCTACAATGGTGATAATTGAAAACCTGGTTTCATGGCATTGCCATGTTCCTTGTATAAATATTTAGATGATATGGAAATTAGAAATATATAATAATAATGTAATTGGGGTGGGCATGGGAGGGGTGTCATGAAACTTTCTAAGAAAAATATTTCAGCATGTAACTAGCATGTAACTAGCATATCTGGGTATTTTGATGAAAATTCTTTAAGGTTGACATAATCATGGCAATTCAGCATATATAAGCATATTTCAACATTTTTCATGTGTAACTACTATGTTACATATGTGATTTATTTTATGTAGTCAGCGATATTGTAAGCAAATTTAATATTTCAGAGAGAAAGTTCAAGAGTTGCGTGTAAATGCATCAGGCCTTCTTGACCCAGAAAAATCCTCCAATAGAATGAAAGGTCTGGAAGGTCAGCCAGGAATCAGTCCTCGTAGGGAGTACAGGGCCAGGGAAGTTCAGCCGTACCACACGAAATTTGTTTTAGATGACAGGTAATGATTTATGTATTTATATAGATTATACTTAAGTTAACGTTAAATTTTTGGTGATTAGAATAATTGAATTTGTCATTGAATAGTAATCAGTCTTTTTCTAGGGAGTAATGATTGAGAATATGAGTAAACTTAACCTGTTGAATTTTTTCATTAATGAATTTGCCTAGTTTTCATTTTTTTTTCATTGATGTTTTATCTGGAAATGTTGAAAAAGAAAGTTTGCTCTGACTCTGCCTGATAGAATAAATTAAAAAAAACTGTCCAAAACTATCGCCTATGTGAAATATAGTTATTTCTCCTAGAAAATTTTATCACAAATTAGGGTTTTTAATAACTGTCTATCTTTCAATTAATGCAACTGACAGACTGGGAGGGTATGTTAACATTATGTTGTCATTATTACAAGCAATTTGAAATTTTTGTTTAATTTAGATGTCATAGATTTATGTAGCTTTGCAAATCTTTATGATGTTCAGTTCTTTGATTGTATAATAAAACAAGATAGGGGAAAGAAGTATCTGAAACTGGCAATATGGCTACTGATGTCCTTGTTTTCTTTTTTTAGCACTCTTTTATTTGGTTACATTTTGATTAATTTGAAGTTGTTATGTTGTTGTATGTTTTAGTTAATATAAATCACTCAGTGTTATCAGTCCAATATGTGACAGTGTGTAACATTGTTGGCATATCATGCATTGTTAACAACTAAATGTTTGCTTTGTTGTTAAAGGGACTCCACTGAGGTTTTTTGACATTTTTTTTCAAGATAAATGTTCTATTTGATGGTCTAGACCAAAAACTTTGTTCAAAACATTCATATTGTTCGCCCACTCTGTTTCCAGAATGATTATTTAAAATTTGAAAAATGATTCGAAATTGCAACGCTTATCACTCAAATTGGGCTAAGATAGCACAAAATATCTTATGTTTCTTAAATATCTTTTGAATATCTTTATGTTTTAAGTGACCAAGTTGATTTATGAATAGAATTCAGATTTTATGTTTTATACTTTTGGACCTCAGTAAGGTCTTTAAGGCCAATTGTAAAATTCATTTTTATTTTCAAAATGTAGAAAGTTAAACACTTGAAATTGTTATGATGAACAGGTTAGATTTTTGTTTTATTTTGTTACCCCAATGGAACACTGTTGTTCCCGACTGTCTATATTTAAGTACAATAGTCTTGCTTTGTCGACCTTTGATACAGTTATTGTAAGTCACTTGAGGGTTTTGTTGTTAGGAATGTATGTGTTTGCTTAACAACATAAAGGTATACAGGTGTGCGCTATTCAGGGAAGAGCATGCATTATTTAAATAAGTCATTATATTGAGCGTTTTATCAGTAAGGCTAAGCAAAATGAATAAAGTAACAGGTAAAACAAAATAAATTGTTGAAGTATTAACAGAAATCGCCTAATTACTTACAGCGAAGACCATGATGCGCTTGGTCGACGGCCAGGTGATTATAATAGTACTACTACAACAAATGTAGGTCAGCCCGCACGTCTACAAGGCCTAGGTCTGGGTAATCTAGGAAGCCTTGGGCTCGGAAGGTACATTGTTGAAAAGCCAGTTTGCTTATAAGACATTGTATATTGCTTCACTAATGTGTATGCAATTAACATAAATTGACTATAAACACATATATATTTCACATAGATTCAGTGTTAGATGTCACATATAAATAGTTCTTTAGATATATTATTAGATTAAGAAAATAGAATACATGCATGGGTTTTTGGGCATATTTGTTCTAAATTAGATAGGACAAAATATTTTGTGTATATCTATTTAGGCCAGGAAAAATAGGGCATGCTTACCTGAAAGAGACAAAGGATATTAGGCAAACAGAAAATGTATGGTTATAAAATGTTATCTCAACCTTTGAGAAATCAATGGCTACAGAAATTCCTGATTTTATTGCTGGCAAAGCAAAAATATATGTTATGGTTTTTGGTATATCAGGAACCATTATGGGAACAGATAATAAAGATATTATTGGTAGCCCCTTGTCTTTAACCCCAGTAATGGGTGTGTCTAAATAGCTTAAAATTTGCATTATTTATTTGAATTCATAGACTTATGCAATGGGTTCCGAATCCTAAATATGAGGAGAAGTAAGTGTAAAATATTCCCAAATAAACTCACTTGAGTGTGAATATGTCTCACATAGTGTTTTCCCTCCCTTTGTGTATATTGAAGTGTTTATCAAGTTGTGTGTACATATTCAATAGAGTGCAAATATGTCCAACATAGTGGTTCCCCTCCCATAAACTTATTGAACTTATAAAAGTGTATTTTGAAGTGTTTATCAAGTCTTGTGTAGAACTTTAGTTAAAATTAACTCACTAGGGTATGTATTATGTCCTTAGTAACATGGTGTTTTTCCCTTCCATAATCTTTTTCCCTTCCATAATCTTTCTTACAAAAATAATTTCACTTGAGTGTATATATAGTCCAACACAGTTGTGTATATATTAAACACAGTCTTTTGTCTCCCAAAAACATTCACTATGATAGGAGAATTAAAGGAAAGTTTATTTATAATATAAAAGGTTTGAATGTCTAGTCATGCTCATTAGCAAATAGGTTGGTCGACTACGTGGATGTGCTGGTAATTTTTCCAGCTACTGAATGTTCAAAGTGCTGAATCCTTCCAAATCAAATTCAGAGCTAAATTGTTTAGTTCTTTGATAATTAATATTTTGGTTCTTTTAATTGCTTTCAGTTTGTTTTGTTTGTTTTGGTTCAGAATATTTTTAATGTGTCCACAAATTTGTTTTAAGCAGAAGTAATATATAAAAACAAAGAATTTTTATAAATGCAACTAAAAACTTGCTTAGTTGTGAGTGTCACTGACCTTATTAAAAAAAGGTTCAATTAACATTTAAGTATCCTGTAATTTGTTTTAGTAGTCTTTATTGAAGATGAGAAATATCTATTACCTCCCTTTATGGTCAGATTGTAATAAAATAACCTCCCTTTAAGGTGAGATAGTCCATTTATTAGAAAATGCATGAAGTCTCTTATAATTGCATGGGTCATTTATTTTAGATTACAGCCAAGAAAGAATATATTGCCTTATTTTCATATATTATTTGTAGTTTTAAGTCACACTAGAATTTTAGTTAAAATAGAGCTATGAGTATAGACTTTATTTTATGCTACAGATATGTAAACAAGATCTTTATTACAAATTTTCTGCCGTTTTACAGCCCAGATCACGATGTTTTGGGTCAGAATAGGTCCCCTGCACGCACAGCTCCACCCCTTAAGGGTATTCTGAGCAATGTGGATGAGAGAAATGGGGCGAGGTAGTTAAGTTTTTATTGCTGCAAGTGGTGGAGTGGGAAATTTGCATGCTGCCTGTTAATAAGCATTATTTTATCTGCCTAACAAAACATTTCTGATATATTTAATATATAATTAATTTAATTATGTCTCTCAAAATATTTGGGAGACATATTTTTTTTGCCTTTGCCGTCCGTCCGGTTGTCCATCCGCATTAAGCTTGTCCTGCCTTCATAGGTCAAACTACTGGTTTGATTTCAACCAAACTTTACTGGAGTGAACAATTTTATGCCTAGTTGTGCATGTCACCGGCACATTCCGCTTCGCTGGACAAACTGGCCACCAGAGCTAAAAATAGAAAAATCTAGTCGGCCTTCAAAAGTCAATCTACTGGTGGGATTTCAACCAAACTTTACAGGAGTGATCAGCACCATGTTTAGTTGTGCACATCACTGGCATGTTCTGCTTCGCTGCACAAAACGGCCGCCAGAGCTAAAAATACAAAAATCTTGTCTGGCCTTCACAGGTCAAACTACTGGTGGGATTTCAACCAAACTTTACAGGAGTGATCAATTCCATCCCTAGTTTTAAAAGCACAATACATTCTGCTTCACTGCACAAAATGGTCGCCAGAGCTAAAAATAGAAAAATCTTATCCGGCCTTCACAGGTCAAACTACTGATGGGATTTCAACCAACCTTTACAGGAGTGATAAGTATCATTCCTAGTTGTGCACACCACCGGCACGTTCCACTTTGCTGTGCAAAATGGCCCCAAGAGCTAAAATTAGAAAAATCTTGTCCGGTTTTCTCTGGTCAAACTACTGGTGGTATTTCAACCAACCTTTACAGGAGTGATCAGTACCATCCTTAGTTTTGCACATCACTGGCACGTTCCGCTTCGCTGCTCAAAATGGCCACAAGAGCTAAAAATAGGAAAATCTTGTCCGACCTTCACAGGTCAAACTATTGGTTGGATTTCAATGAAACTTCACATGAGTGACCATACATAGTTTTGGGAGATATATGTTTTTGTGACAAAAACCCTTCTAGTTATGATATAAAATTAGTTTGTATTTGAGTTAGCTTGAGTTTAATTTTCTTCAGATTTTGCTTTTTAATGACCTCTCTTGTCTGTTAACATAATTAAAAGCTTCATCCATTAGTAAATTTTGTCATGGTTAACCTGAAAAAACAATATTTGTTTGAGCTCACACCTTTGTCATTGGTTATTGTCTAAATCATTCATAACATTATTTGTCCAAGGTTAAAAAAGGACTTGAATGTTGATTAGGTTAAACAAAAGCAAAATACCCACTTAACATGTTTAAAGACCCCTTTCAAATGGTTGTGTTATGTATATCCAAACCAATATGTGCTTTGATAGTGCCCAATGGGAACAAAAAGTAACAAGAAGACAATACCTTCTCTTGGCCTATTTCATGTACAAAGCTGGTTGTATTGCAGGACATTCAAGGAATAGCCCTTTAATAGAAGTTTAAAAGGCGAGCATTTGATAATAATTGTGTAGTTACGAAACTTTAATAATGAACTTAAATAAATATGAGTTGGTTTTTTTATTTAAGTTAGTTAATAGTCACGCTTTGTTGTAGAAATACACTGAGTTCACCACAAAGCCTCACCGAGTTGTAAGTAAACTAATGCTACTAGCAGTTTTGCCATAGTCTATAGCTACAAAAGTAGATGTCAATAAATTCATCAAGGTTTTAAAAATACTGAAATTTAGACTTGAGTTTAAAGCAGCATGGCTTCAGATTTCATTGAATTTTTTTAAAAATTATAAATAATGTTATCTTTTGTGAAAATGTTTGTCAAGTACACAAATGACATAATTTGTGCAGTAGAAATAATGGTGAAATGGTAGTTTAAAATTAATATATACATGTAATATCTTGTATGAAATATTTGAAATATAATATGAATAGGGAATATGCATTCTCCTTACTATTAATTTATTATTGTAAAATTTGATAGTTGAATATTTGTTTACTGCCATATTGGGGTGTATGGGCCGGTGGCAGTAAAAACACAATAAAGAATTGAAGGTGTGCTGCTTTTTATGATCTGATTTTCTGATTTAAAACTTTGATGAAATTATTGGTGCTAAAAGGCATCCTTAGAATAGAGAAAGCCTTGTGATATTGGCTGATTCTTACTTTCCGGATATCCTGATATTTTCTTTCTGAACTTTAGCAAAAATTTGAGGCTTTGATTTTAGATATCTCCAGGAAAAATTGGTATTTTCATACTGATATTAATAAAGTATATAAAGTATTGAATAAACTAAAGTGAACTTAAAGTATTAGTTTATTTATAACATGTTGAATCTATAATTAGGAATGATATGTATAAACATTTGGTTATATTTTGCTTAATATCATAGGAATATAAATAATTTTTGGCAAATTTTAGCCAAATTTGTATAGAAAATTTAGGGGATTATGTTTGACTAAAGTTAAGAGGAAAGTTACAGAGAACAGAATTTAGCAGATTTAATTGTCTTAAGATGTTCTTAAACATATGACATAAATATGCAAATTTCTATCCGTCTGTTACTGCTGTTTGAAGACATGCTTTGTGTGATGTGAATAACAGATGCTTGATGTGTAAAAACTGTGCAGATCTTAGTAAAACACAGTTATTTCACAGTTGACTGCTTAATATTCTATCATTTGAATTTAGTTAGTTCCACAGAGTTACGTGGTTTGTGTATAATTATGGAAAAATAAAAAAATTTAAGTTTCCTTTTTTAAAGTTTCTTTAAATTGTTATCATTCATTTTATACTTTGTAACTTTTCTGTTAAAAACTTTGATTTTGTTAGGTTTTTTTTTAATTTTGTCAGTAAGATTTATGTCTTCAGTTTATGGTAAAAGTATATTTATCAAGTATGATTTTTATAAACGCTTAACAAATATTTTAATTTGTTAAAATCAACAAAAATAGTTATACACTTGATGGAAAATACAACTTACATTTTGGTGATTTGTTATGGATTTAGTCTAGATTAAGTTTAGTATTATTAAGAGGGTTGTTACTACGAGAATGATAGTAAAGTAATTTATGTACATTTCAGTGGTGATGATCTGAGACTTGACTTGGGAGGAGGTGGAGCTCCGAGAGGTAGAAGGCGCGAGCGTGATCCTGCACTCCTTGATCCTGGATACGCTGGACTGCTTGAATCACGGAGACCGGTTGGTACAGCGATGCCTCCACCTGGACTCATGTATACTCCATCGTAAGTATAATACAGAGTCCACTTTATTGTTCTGACTCTGTAGTGATCTTCTCTTTGACACTCTCTTGTAATATTATACTGTATAATACTGTATAGCATGATAGAAAACCCTAATCTGACTGTCAAGTTATTAAAGGACAGTTTTATACTCAATACCATTAAAAAATCAACTACTTTGTAACCAACAGAATAATTAATGTCATGATACACACTCATTCTGTTAGGTATAATATCATAATATTCACTTACATGCAAGTGATAATGTTAAGATAAACACTCATTCTGTTAGTGACAATTTGTCAAGATAAACACTCATTCTGTTAGTGACAATTTGTCAAAATAAACACTCATTCTGTTTAGTGACATTGTCAAGATAAACACTCATTCTGTTAGTGACATTGTCAAGATAAACACTCATTCTGTTAGTGACATTGTCAAGATAAACACTCATTTTGTAATTGACATTGTCAAGATAAACACTCATTTTGTAATTGACATTGTCAAGATAAACACTCATTCTGTTAGTGACATTGTCAAGATAAACACTCATTCTGTTAGTGACATTGTCAAGATAAACACTCATTCTGTTAGTGACAATTTGTCAAAATAAACACTCATTTTGTAATTGACATTGTCAAGATAAACACTCATTTTGTAATTGACATTGTCAAGATAAACACTCATTTTGTAATTGACATTGTCAAGATAAACACTCATTTTGTAATTGACATTGTCAAGATAAACACTCATTTTGTTAGTGACATTGTCAAGATAAACACCCATTTTGCTAGTGAAATAGTCAAGATAAACACTCATTTTGTAATTGACATTGTCAAGATAAACACTCATTTTGTTAGTGACATTGTCAAGATAAACACTCATTTTGTTAGTGACATTGTCAAGATAAACACTCATTTTGCTAGTGATAATGTCATGAGAAACACTCATTCTGTTAGTGATAATATTAACACTCATTTTGTTAGTGACAATAACATGATATACACTGTATTTAATGACAAAGTCATGATAAACAATGTCACAATAAACACTTGTCTAATTTTTTAGTGATAATATTCATGATAAATACTGTTAGTGACAAAGTCATGATATCACTCACTGTGTGAGTGATAATTTCAAGATAAACACTCATTTTGAGAGCAACATTGTCATGATAAACACTCTTTCTTATAGTGATAATGTCAAGATAAACACTCATTCTGCTTGCAACATTGTCACTATAAACAATCATTCTGTTGATGAAAACGCATTGTAAACACTCATTCTGTTAATGGCATTGTCATGATAAACACTCATTCTGTGTGTAATAATATCATGATAAATACTTATTCTGTTAGGGTTTAGTGTCTGTATTAAAACTATATGTGTATGTATTTAAAAAACCAGACTTGTACCAAACTTTCTGTGCTAATTAATATCCTTTATATGTACATGGAACTTTTATGTCCATCAGATTCTGCCATTGAATGTCCTCTGCTGCTCTCATTTTCTGTTTGCATTTGAACAGTGCATTTAAAGTCTAATAATTTGGGATATAAAATTGGCTGTGACTTAGCTTCTCTTTAGGGAATTACAAGACTTGGGAAATGATGATTTTATGATTATTGACATTCTATCAGTGACCAATGGTGGCACAGTTTGATCTCTGTTTTATTGTAGAATAGTTATCATATAATTAGTTGAAGATGGAAAGCACTGCCTTGCATATAAGTACTTCTCATAGGGTGTTTAATATATTGTTGAATGCCTAAAAACAATACTGGCCATATATTATGCATGTTAAGTATCTGTATATAGAGTCCAGGTATGAAGGGCATGCACACTGTTATTTAATACTATAGTAGGTCAAAATCTGTTTGTACCTAGTTATCAAGCAAAACAAAAGAAAGGTGCTATTAGAAATCAATATTGAAAATACACACTGGCACTAAATTATTTACTTAACAAATGAATTCTGTTTTTATAAAAGAGTACATTAAAAGCATTGTAAATTATTGGAAAATTTAGGATTAATAGAAAACTGGATACAAACTTTTTTGTGACCTTGTGAGAACTATTTATTGGAATGAGCTGTTAAAGAACTGAAAATATATAAATGATGTTACTGACTGTTATAAAATAGATTTGTCTGAGATACATTATAGTTTTTGGAACTTGATGATATTTGACGAAAATCTGGTGGTGGTCTTGCCATTTGAAGTAAATAATTTATGTATTTTCAGTTTTTGGGGGCCAAGCTCTACATCTTATGACAATTACAACTGATGCTTTGTAAACTGCTTGCTGCAGGCTTTTGCATAACAGACATTCGATGCTTCCCAAATTACCTCTCTTTCCAGTTCTGTAGATAATTGAAACTTTAGAAATAGACTTACTGTGATAATTGTGTCTATTATTTGTTTTGCTGTGATAATTTATGGCTATCATACTTAATTATGTCATTATCGTTAGGGTGTTTTTATCATTCATAATAATTACCGCTATATCAGCATCATAATGGAAGTGAAAAATATTGTTTACTCAATCAGTCATATTTACATCATGCCTACCTGATAGTCTTAACCAGTCTTATTGTTTGAATTTTATGGACTGGTATAAAGAAATTATCTTTAAATATACTTTTCCAATGCAAATATAGATGCAACTAGTAGACCAGTCCTTGTACTAAATTGTTGTTTCTATAGACTGGTATTGAGAAATTTGTAAGTGTCTAATGTAGGCAAAGATGCTAATGGTAAACCGGTCTTTGCTTTGATTTAATATAGACTGGAATTCAGAAATTAGTAAGTGTCTATAATTTATGTAGGCAAAGATGCGAATGGTTAACCAGTCTTTGTTTTTGATTTTATATAGACTGGAATTCAGAAATTAGTAAGTGTCTAATGTAGGCAAAGATGCAAAATGGTTAACCAGTCTTTGTTTTTGATGTTATATAGACTGGTATTCAAAAATGAGCTCTTAACTTCAGATTTCCCAGTGGTGATCAAGATAAACGGTAAAGAAGTCCTTGTATAATTCCCACTCACATCTGACATAGAAATTTACCCATCACATAGCATGTTTTTGTTGTTTGTCATTGCTGTTGTTGATTTCATAACAATATAGATGTTGTTTATATATTTATGTTGTACTTTAAGTATTGTTTTATACTCTATATGGGCTTTATGGTTTTAGATGTATTATATCAATATAGTGTCCCCACAAACTTGGATTGAAAAAAAGGATGTGCAAGTGACTGTGGTATTGAAGGGCAACTTGACTTTTAAGAATTTGATTAGAATTACTTTCCCAAAACTATGAAATTTAGTCATAGTAAACATACATGTCAGTGTAATGGATGATGACTGTTGTCGTCAAATTGCATGACAAATATGTGTATCTCCATTTTTCATATCACATCTTTCTATTTTTGCATGCCTATATACATGTACTGTATATGTAACCAAATTACTCAATGTATCAATCATTCAACATTATATTGTATAATCGATTTTAAATGGACTTTTACATAAACATCTTTGTTGGTCACGAGACTTTTACGACATACTTTTTAACTTCAGATTAACAGACATTCTAGATGTACCATCGATAAACCCCCTGTCTGGGTAAAAAATGCTTAAATAGGCTATCTTTAGTAATACTTTACTTTTGATTATAACAACCTAACTGCTGTATGGCCACAAACAGCTTCCTGAAGGAATGAATTTAATTTTCTAAATGAACAACAAACCAAACCCAGTAATGATAAAATTTGTTGATACATTGATCTGTAATTGAAGATTTTTTTATCACATTTTTTCCTGATTCTTTGCTGAATTATAAGTTATTTTTAGCTAGCCAATGAAAACTGATTCTATAAGAAGAATAGTAGGTGATTGGATTATTGTGTCATTTAAATTAATATGTTTCAGTGATTATGCTTAAATGATTGATAATGCATAATGTTAGGTTATAGTTATTATATAAATATAAAGATGATATTTTGACTGAATAATAATTGCTGTTTGAAGGGCCAAACTAACCAGGTGTTCGGGGTACATAAATATTTCTCAAATAATAGCTTTATCTGTTGTTTTTATTGTATTTACTGAGTCTTTGTACATGTACTTGGAATTTGTTTAACATTTTTGAAGTAACATTTTAGATTTTAGAAATGGTGATCCATTATATTTAATTTGATTTTTTATGTTGAAAAGACATTTATTAACATGTTTAAAGACTTAAATAATTTATGATCTTTCTAATTAAATTTATCTTTCCTTTTCATCTTTGGATTAACTGTTGTTATTTTTTAGTAGATATTAAAAGTTTAATATTTAAGTTTGCATTGTAATTAATTAGATGTATTATACATGTGATGAACGCAAAACTGCAGTATTACTTATAAAACAAGGAAGGACTTGCAATAGTTTTGTAGTCAGCCCTCAAATTGTGTATTGTAAGTTTTGCTAGACATTTATAATAATGTGCATGATAATGTTTTGATATGTTGTCTGGAGTGGTTTTAAATAATATATTTTATTTACTTATAACTTAGGGAATATTGTTACTTGTTTATTTAATAGATTGATCTCTTATCATTATTTTATATATGTTTATATAATTATATTTTATTTTGGGGATTTATATGACTAGTTTTTGTTTGAAATAAATATTTTTTTATAAAAATTGGTGCAAGTGTTATTGTTAGTTATGACAAAGAAGTTGGGCTGCCTACCCAATTAGTAGGAAAGTGTAATGGTTTTGAAGCTATGTGAAAAGAGATAACTGTGTTGTAGTTCATATGATAACTTTGATTACCATATTTATCTCCCTTGTGGCTGAGGGGATGCCTTTACAAATTGAGGCATCAGAATCGAAGCTACCATTTAACCCATTTTGTATTCTTTCCTGTGAGAGATTGAGATTTCATGTTAACTTTTTGGAACATCAGATGAAATACCAATATGCCTGAAATAATGCAAACAGTATAACAAAATATTGAATTCTTGCTCCCACATTATTAGCTGTTTTATATAAACCAAATGACAAGATTTCGTTCGGTTTCTTTTGAAAGTTAAGAGTACAGTTTAGTTCTATTTGTTATACTGTAAAATAATGAATATGGACCTAACTTGCTGCTTATGATCAAGGAAATTTGGGTTACAATTTTTATATGCCAGAAAAGAATGATTAAAGTCACAAATTTCATTACAATGTTTTATATGTAACAGTCTAAATGAAAATACTATAAAATACTGTTAGATTTAGTAAAAATGTTTGTTGAAAATAACATAATTGTGGTTTTAATGTTTATTTAGATTTGCATTGTTTCTTAAAAATAACTAGCTTTATACTTATAACAAATTTTAAAGATCTATTGAATGTCAGAAACATGTATTGTTTAGGTTGGTTGAAGAAAAAAGATAATCTGATGTGTGAAGCCAAGGCTGACAGAGAATTTAAGCATTACTACCATTAATATTGTTAACATTATTAGTTTAAACAGTATTAATCTGAGCTTGATTGTTTAACCACATCTTGCAACTAAATGTTACTCACAATGAAGGATTATCATTATTAAGATTTTCATATTGTATTATTATTTATCATTATTCTTATTGTTCTTTTATTACTGTTATTTACTTAAAAGATACATTTATAATTTAACCAGGATTTTATATATTACGAGGACTGTTTGGTTTTACAGGACATACGTGACAGGAGGAGGAGGTTTAGGTGGTCAGATGAGCTCAATAGACGAGGCATATAACTTTTTCGCCACAAGAAATCCTCTCGATCTGGATGTTGGAGGTGAGTTTATTAAAAAAATATATATCGGTCTGAGCGGTGTTTATCAGCTTTTTAACAACTGATTTGGAGTTTTGATGCGTAGGAATTGACTACGAAGGCCATGCCATTGGTTTAAGGTTTTTTTGCATCAAAATGACATGTCCTGTTTTTAAAATATACTGTTTATACTTAAGATATTTACAATCCAAATAATGATTCACATGGAAAATAGGATTATTAATTTTTATTGTTTAATCTCTATATTTTTACTATAATACTAACAGAGATGTGGTCATGCTGTAAGTTGTTCTTTACATCCATTGATACAATGTAAACCTCCATCTTTAACCTTTAGGTGGTGGGATAGGAGCCGGCATACCAAACTATAACACTGGTGGTGATTATGGAGGGGGTGGGGGCTACCAGCGGTCATCACCAACCCCAAGAGTCACATTTGCTGATGAAGGACCCCCATCAACGTAAGATTTTAATTTCTACAAGTCATGTACTTCATAGAGTATTAATGAAATGTGTATTTAGTGTAAGAATAGTAATTTGTCATAAAATAAACAAAATGTATTATTAAAGTGAATTGGTCTATAACAGAGGGTCTGTGATTCCAGAGATAAGTATGTTGATAGTATCTAGAGCCATTCATGATAACAAACAAAGAAATAATCATATATGGATGTTGAGCTTAAATTGAGAGATACATGGATGTTGTTGTTAATTGTGAGATATATGGATGTTGTTGTTAATTGTGAGATACATGATCTTATAAAACATATCTTAATATATCAAATAAACGATTGTTCTAAAACAAAATACTATTTTTCATCATATTAATATCAAAATAAAACTACTTAGAACTTTATCAACATATTTTCTTAGAAATTTAGCAAAGAAATAGAAATATTTTGTTAGACTATCCAACTAAAATATTTTGTTGTTTTTTATCAATATTTGAAGTACTTATTGAAAATGTGCCCATTGTAGACCAATTCACTTTAAGCTTATAGTAAAGTAATGGTCACATATTCTGGTACAGCATCTATTACAGGCCTATAAAAAATTTGGCATGTCATAAACTGTGTCCAATAACACACGTAAATTAAAAAAAAAATTGAAATACAAGTTTCTGATATGATTCATTTTAAATTTCAGATAGCTAATAGGGATTATGACTTGAATGTTTAGCCAGTGTATAGTCAAGCCCGAGCCTGCACATTTGTCCAGCCTATTATTTGGGGGCTGCCTATTTTTAGCATTCTGATTTAAAAGCGCTTTAAAAATTACAATGGACTGTTTCAAATTCAAAATAGGACAAAACCATAATACAGCTTATTTCAAGAAATTATTGTAACCATGTCATAGCAGAACTAGTCAGTTATATATGAGCCGTGTCACGACAAAACCAACATAGTGCGTTTGCGACCAGCATGGATCCAGACTAGCCTACGCATCCGCTCAGTCTGATCAGGATCCATGCTGGTCGCTATCAGTTTCTGTACTTGTAATAGAGTTGGTAAGCGAACTGCATGGATCCTGATCAGACAGCGTGGATGCGCAGGCTGGTCTGGATCCATGCTGGTCGCAAACCCATTATGTTGGTTTTGTCGTGACGTGGCTCATATATTGATGTTTACTTTATATACGCTCGTTTGAAAAACGGGTTGTATTATGGAAATGCCCCTGGCAGCGGTGTCAAATTTTATCTGGATCATATCTTCTAAACACATGGGGGGGGATTTTATTGAAACTTGGTCAGTATATACATGTATATTCTGTATATATAAATACATACTTTATCTATATCGTAGAAGACGTCGTGACAGAAGTAAGGAGCGTATATCACCATATCAGTTTGGAGACGAGACTGAACAAAGGTCAAGGTCACGATCAGAAACACAAAACTATGGTGCTGAACTGGAACGACAGGTGAGGTGTCTTTACTTGATGTCATGTTTTTTATGTTGATTATTTTGTTAGGGCTTTGAGGTTGATAGAAGAATACAGTTACCGTTTTACACATTATGCCTCAGAAACAAAAATTAAATATTCAATAATTAGAAAGGGCAATCTTGAATTTTATAATGTTTTAATAATGGTTTTAGAGCATATGAACATGCTTATCACCTGAAAAAGTAGTGCTGAGTGTGAAATTAATTATAATAAAAGTATCAAAATTTAAACAAAGTAGTATTTTGACTCAAGTACAAATTACTAAATCATTTTTGGAAAAATTAACGGGGTGAAACTATAGCAGGGCACCAAAAAAAAAAAAGAAAGCTTTTGAGAAATAAAATATAACCAGTTCTGTTGCATAATGGGCCTTTAATTAAGTAATTCAAAAATATTGGCTGTTTATTAGCTAGCTTATGCTAAATTTGAAATTGTTGACTAACATTTTCATTAAGACAACAGCAGTGTTTCTTTTTCTTCATAGAAAGTATATGACAAACTAATTTAATGTTTACATGAATATGGGTGGTTATAAGTGTATTTTTAGTGTAAGTTGTAGAAACTAAAACACAGATGATTGGATTTTTTTTTTACTATTAATGTTAATTGAGACTTTTTGAACAAAAATTGCTACATGTAAATTAAAAAATATAATATATTCTTCAAAAAAAACCAAAAAAAACAGACTGGTTATAAAAGAATTCAACAATCGCTTTGATTTAATTTTTTCAGATTCAGGCAAAAAGAATGCAGAAAATGAGAGAAAAAGAGGAACAAGAAAGGTAACAAATATGCATTAGAATCTCTCAATTGTAATGATGATGACGATTTTGATTTTGCCTAATATTGTCACCAATAAAGATTTAATAGGGTAGTTCAGGTCATTTAACCCTGCTGTTCACTTAGTGCATATTTTGAAACATTCCCTCAGTACAACTTACTTATTTTGTTATTTCCCCTTATAATGTTGATTAGTTTTGTCCAGATTGAAAGATGGACAGGTCCATTTTAAGATATATAAGTGTGGTATGTGTAAATGAATGATTTAGTGCAAGGAGATTATTTTCTGAACAGATGATTTAAACCTTCTAGATTGATCTTTTGTCATTAATATATCAGGTGTGCTGCTAAAAACATCACTTTGACCAAAATCTTTTGTCATATTTATGATACATGTAGTGGTTGATTTTCAAGATTTCTTTGCTTGTTCATTAAATTGTCTTAAAAAAATTCATGCTATAGATATGTGAAGGCATAGATATAACTTCTATAATTACTCGTTTTCCAAATTTCCAAGAAGGGAAGAGAGTTCTAAATGTTTGTTGATGTTATTTTTCCAATTCACTAAAATTTGATTTAAAATTCAACACTTACCGGTATCTTTTCCAGAAACCTCGGTAAATAGCAATTCAAAAAAGTATATGTTCTAAGCAACTTTATAATTTCAATATTATAAAGATCAGAATATTTTATCCAATTATTGAAAATAAGTAGCTTGTTAAAATTGTTGCAATTTCATAATTATGTTTATTTTATAGATATGATCGTAAGCTAGAAGCTGAGATAGCTAACTATAATCCATTTGGACGAGGCGGAGCTGGGGCTCCAATGACAGATCCAGACACTGGCAAACCTATAGGTAATAAGCTGGCTTAGATACCATAGAAATATAAGATGTGCTTAAAGCCTTATTTCTTGTTGTTATTATTTTTATTTGTATTTTGTTTATTCTCAGGTTGAAAAAGTTAATCTTTAAACAAACTACAGAATATATTGTTACTGGCAATAAATTGGCCAGCTTAAAATTTTATGAGATAGGAATATACATATACATGTATGGACTTCAAGTGCATTATTGATATTTATGTTTAGTATATATTTTATCTAATTCATTAAATTACTAATATTTGTAATTAGTTTGATATTTTTATGTGAATTTGTGATGGAAAGTATAGTGCAGTAGACAATTTAAAGTGTATAACAAAATTTTGTACTGAACATTTTTAATAAACCAACTTAAGTTCAAGATGAAAGAGTAAAACACGTCGTGAAAATTTAAAATACGATTTATTTGTTTGGTGTATTAATAATGATCCCTTTGGTTTTAGCTGATTTGCGATCATTGGTACGGGGAGGGAGAGGAGGACCTTACCAGTCACCCAGGGGTAATTACTCCTCCCCATCACATTCTCCTAGACCCCCATCACCCCGCGATGACAAGATTAAAACTCCACCCCCACAGAGTACCGCCTTCGGGGAGGCTACACATGCCCGAGGTGGACATGGTATATTTGGTCAACCAAAGGTAAAAATTTCTAGCATAATAGTTCGAGAGGAATCGTGTGATATGTACATTGGAGAATCATATTGTTGAATAACAAATGTCATAGCAAAAAGTTAAAATGAAATCATACTATATGACTACTTCCACATTTGGAAATAAAGGATAATTATATAAATAAGCCCTCTGTTAAAAAGAAAATTATGAACACTTTTCATGATGTTATGTCATGATATACTTTATTACCCAAAGCTTATTGCAATGTCTGTTTTAAACACAAGCCATTGATATTATGCACTGAATATTTTATTTTATTTTTGTTGCAAAATCATATTCCTTTTAGTAAATAGCGTCACACATGTTTAGGGATCGTATATCAGTGCTTTAACAATGCTTGTATTGTATGCTTGTGTAACTTTAGTATGTAGCTGTAGAATTAACACAAGAACACATTCTGTTTTACAGACAGAGGCCGAGAAAGATCAATCAGACAAATATAAGGATGATCTTCGGGAACAGGTGGGTACAATTTTAATGTTCTATTACTCATTTTAATATATTTTGTCATTTTTTGATGCTCCTTTTGTCAGGTTTAATGTTGCATTGACACAGTACAGGTCATTTGACAGTTTGATATTTTTATCTCCGCTATTCAAAGAATACAGAGAGCTATTGTACTCCTCAAGGTGTCTATGTCACCGTCAAACTTTTATTAAGTTTTTCAAGCAGGTTGGTATCTCCAAAACTACTGTAGGGAATGGGTTGAAATTTCACACATATTTGCGATCAATAAAGGAGGTCACTGTCCAAGGCTCATAACTCTAATATGTATTTTGATAGAATAACGGCCCTTTTTGAACTTAGAAAATTTTTAATTTTCCAGGTTCTTATCACTATAAAGCACTGATAATAGTCAAGCACACTGTCTTACTGACGGCTCTTGTTGTTTGAATTTTGTGTTGAAAGATAACCGCTCTGAACATTATTTACAGCTAGAGTTAACCTTTATGGAACCCAAGCAATGGCCTTTAGGTTTTTAAAAACCAGCTAGATGGCTTTCACACATTGATGACTTTTCTGATGTTTGAACCCACATAGTGAAAAGCAACTTAATCAACACATCAAGCTGACCTAACAAAACAAGCTCGTAAAAAAACATTATAATTTTGTTTATAATTCAAGTATGCTTCTTTTTAGCTTGACTATTCGAAGAAAATGAGAGCTATTGTAGTCGCCCCGGCGTCGGCGTCAGCGTCCGCGTCTGCGTTGGTTAAAGTTTTTTGTAAAGTCAAATATCTCAATTATTGCTTATTATCAAGGTCTTTTACTAAAAGCAGCTAGAAAGACAACGTGGACACGGTAAGCTCTTGATTGTTGAAATTCCAGTTATGAAATCTAAAAGATGTATATTTGATAATATAATTTAAAATTAAACAATAAAGTTTAAATTTAGTGCAGAAAGAATTCTGTTTCAACCATAAGTATAAGCTTGTCAAGCGGTTTAATTGAGTCTTTATGTATTTACTGTGATTATTTTAAAATTGGCATTTTTATTTGAAAATTTGAGGCCGTGAGCGATAAAAAAAAAAATCAAGTGGACAAAATAGATACAGAAGGTTAGAAGAACAAAGATGAAATTGTTTCAACATTGTTTTATGATTTTTTTAGGGCCCCGGGAAGAAGATTTTACAAATATTTTTTGTTGAGATCCCTTTTGGTGAAAAATCAGTGTTTGGAAGGTTTTTTAAAATTGGATGTTTTCATCTTTAGAATGGATTATATTTGTTTGTTTGTTAGTCAAGAACATGACCTTATTAGTTTCACAAGATTATTCTCTTTCGTCTTTACCAGAAAGTTTTTGGTGTAATTATAATTATAAAAGATACTGATGATGTATCAGCAAAAAATATGTGTAGACACTGATTATCAAGATAGAAATCAGTTTCCTGCTCTTCTGTAAGTACCAGCCTCCATGGCAGAACACTAACTACCTTTGGGACTTTAAAGATTTTGGTTGTTGGGAAAAAAAATGGAAACTGAATTTAGGTTAAGAAGTATTGCTCTCCAGAGGGCCTGCCCATTTACACAATATCTCTTGCTCCTTTGTCCATTTGTAGGCAATAATATCAAGTTAAACTCCAATTTAAACGTCAGCCTGCCATGCCACACTAATCTGTAGGGAAACTCTATTCTACTGAGTTGCTTTCAAAATTTGATTAATTTTTATTTAAAATTGTATAAAGTAACCATTAACAGTACTAAAGGTGAATGACACAGAAGCAGAAGTGTTTATACATAACCTGTACTCTTATTTTTTTTCAGACTCGAAGAAAGAATGAAGAACTTAAGAAACAAGCAGACGATAGAAAGAAAGAAACAGAAAGAAAACGTAGAGAAGCAGATGATGCTAAAATGAGAGATCAACAAGAACAGCTGGAAAGAGAAAGACATGAGAGAGAACAGGTAAAGTCACATGATTGTAAAATTACAGAATATCAATATTTCTGTGAAAAGTAGGTGTATGAAATATAGAGAAAAATAATGATTAAGAATGGTTAACTATTAGAATAACGTAGTGCAAAAAGAAATTTCTGTTAACCAGTCTGTATGGAATGCATTTGTTAAGAGGGGTTTATTGAGTCTTTTCTGTAGTTTTCTGTAGATCTACATCTGTACATAGCATTTTTATCTTGAAACCAAAAGTTTTGAGATCAGAAATTTATAAAATATAATAAATAAATTTCAAGTTCACATACATATATTCATTCAGTTAGAGAGATTTAAAGATAAATTTGTTTTGCAACATTTTTTTTCTGTTTGATTTTTTTTGAGTGCCCATCCATTTTATTTTACTAAATAAAATATGTATTGTAGGTCTTTTCTCAAAATCACTGTAGTTTGGAATTTTTGTGTGAATAAATTTAGGAATATTTTTTATTTTTGAATGAATGTTATAATTTGTTTAGTTTTGTTTTATATTTTTGTTATGATGTTTTGCAAGCATATGTTATTAGTTTGTAGTTACATAAATTGTATAATGCCACATAGGTGCATATTATGTTACAATAAAGTGGGGATATAATGCCTCATAGGTGCCCATTGCATAATAATCATGCGCTATATAGATACATATTGCATTTTAATTATGTGCCACATCAGTGGCTATTGTTTAATAATTTTATGGTGCATATTGCATTACTATTTTATGCCACATAGGTGCAGACTAGATCTAAGAAAATATTCTGTACTTTATGCAGATTTTTTTTAGTGCTTTTTGTGACTTGATTTATATGCCAATAAGGTCCTCTTGGCCCAATGGATAAGGTCACTGACTCTTGCCCCTCCCTTTGTAGGGGAGATCCCTTGTAGCTGAGGGGTTGACAGTAATGCTTGAGGCATAAGAATTGCAGTCACGGTTTATCCTTGCGTGATTGTAAGGGGCATCTTAATTGGTTCCAATTACTGGAGTCTTTGTATCTCTATGCTCCAGCAAGTAAGGTGGTTTTGATCCCTGGTGTTGCTTTGAAGTTTGTAGCAAAATCATCTTTCCTCTTTCGGAGTCATATGATTTATACTATGTTGGTGCTCTGTATAACCAAACAAACCAAATCAATTTGTGGGTTCGATTCCTGCGAGGGACTTTGGATTCTTTCATGTGAGGAAGCTATCCAGCTAACTTAAAGAAAGTCAGTGGTTCTTCTCAGTTGCCCATTTGTGGCTGAAATAGTGCACAGAATAGTACCTGATGTTTTCCTACGCCAGTAAAGCTGGAATGTTGCATTATGACCTGAACTGTGTTGGTGCGATGTAAAACCCAACCAAAAAAAAAAGAAAGTAGAAAAAAATGTTTTTTCTTCAAAACAGTAGGCCACCATTAAAATAATATTGTCACATTGAAAATGCTGGTACAGAAACTGCAGTCTTTGCTACCAAAATAAGGCTAGGTCAGCATGCACTTCCTTGCAGGCTGACCAGCTTCTGTATTGTTGGCAGACCAGTTTTCAAACTTTCGTCATGATGTTTGATGTTCCCTAAATTGATAATGAACTCTTCTGAAAATGGAAGCTGGGCAAGTCCATTAATGAAATGAGGTTGGGATTGGGTTTAATTTTTGGGTAACAGTATTGCATAGATATTGCATATGTAGTATTTTGATTTGCAGAGAGAAGCAGCCGATAGAGTTAAATCTCCTCCTGTTCCAGCCATGAAAGTAAAGGTAGACCAAATGTCTTGTTGCTATTGGTTACCCTCACTGTTCACTTGGGATGCTTTGGTCTTTTCTGTATTAACATGGCTTTAACTATATAACCATGCACTTTCTGCACTATGATGAAATTTTCACTTGTTTTACTAATACGATAATGACTCTTTGACTATTTAGAAAATATTATAACATATTAGGTTTTAGATTGTCATTGGACAAAATTATTAGCAGATTTTTTTTTAAAAACTTTGCCACATTTTACTAATGGGCGATGTTTTGATACCTCTTAATGGACTATTTTGAATTAAGATTGTCCATGCAAGGCAAGGTACTGTTTTATTAGTAAGACACTTCACAAATTTACAGTAATAATGAATGGCCAAGAAAATCAACAGTAAAACCTGTGCTGTATAGACCACATTATATGTGTTGTATGAAAGCATATTGAGGGCTTTGAATGTGATACATGTATTCTTAATCATATAACAATTTTGCAAAAGTAAATACATAAAAGTTAAACATTAAATAGTAGTGTTTCAATACATCTAAAGATTGCAATACATAGAAGTTTTGCTTTACTTCGGAACTTTCAAGTATGATGTAAAAATTGATATAGAGTAAGATATTTCATAAAGACAAGTTTAATGGCATACATACAGGTTTTACTGTACTTGTCATCATTTAATGATTAATACATTTTATAACGTTATAATGATTAGTTACAAATGATTCTCCAACTGTACATGTTGTATTATGTGTGTTGTCTTGTTTATTTTAAGGGTCATAAGTAATGCTGTTTTAACTGTATTGTTGTTGTTGTTATTATAATTAATGTTATTATTGTTATAATGATCATTATCATTGGTATAACATGTATATACAAAAGTTACAAATTAAATTGTCCGTCTGCTTAGCTCAAAGAAGCATTGTAGAGTAATCCAGAGATTGCTCTGGTTCTAATCCTTGGACCTTCTCCGTGACAAATGGTCTTTGACACTGAATCTGATGGTCATTTATCACTCACAGATGATTCAGGAATACTGTGGGATAATTAGTTGGTCACTTGTGGAGATAGACAAAATGCCTTTAAAAGCAATTAGAAATTTATCAGATCAGTTCATTTATCTAGGATTTGATACTTTTGGATATATTAATATTTATACATATAATCCAGAAGTCTTTACAGCTACCATTTACCCTCTGAATTTAATAGGCAAGGCATATTGACTCTTTCAAAGGCAATATTAAAGATAACCTAGCATTAGATCTTTTAACACTTGTACACATGTACAATAAACAGTTCCAAATTCAATGCAGGACATGTTTATAATACATGTACATGTATATAAATTCATCACAAGTTATCATTACTTTACTTATTTCATTTGAAAGTTTTATGTGTATTTAAGTGTCAATTTATATGTAACACTAACATGTCTTCTGTATTTTATGTCTAGTCTCTACTAGCATCTTTGTATATAACCAGAAATTTTCCTTGCATAGAAAATACAATAAAAATGATGAAAAAGGATCTTTTTCCAAATTTCATATATCACTGTTTTTGGAGAAAAAATATGATTTTTGAATTAACATTTAACAAAATAAAGAGTAATCCTTTTTCATACCTTTATGTTAATTGTTTTTCTGCTGTCTGTAAGTTTTGTGATTGTTGTGCGTAATATTTTTAGGTACTTTGCCCGTTAGTGCTCATTTAAATTTACCACCTTCATAACTGATACCAATTTTGCCATCTCCATTTCTTTATGTAATATAGATTTTGCCATCTTCATAGTTTTACATAAAAATGATTTTGAATAATGAATAATTATAAGAGACTTTATTACAGTTTGTATTATTGATTTGCCATCTTCATAATTTTATGTAACAAGAAATTTGCCATCCCAAATATGCTTTTTATCACACAGACTCAAAAATATGCAACATTTTTATGAGCACTGATGGATTTACTACCTTATGCCATATGGGTTATGTTTTTAATGCATATGTGTAATGTGTTTGTGTAGTATATCATTGTCATGTGTAATGTACTCAATGTTATATATATGTTCCTACAGCATTGGCATCCCAATGAACACAATTTTTACACGATTTATCAGGTAATGGTACAGTAACACTGCATGGTGTACCCTCATTATTATCTAGGTTATATGGCAGCAACGTACTTTTGTTATATAAATGTGGACAAGTATAAAAGTACTCTTTTTTAAGGAAGTTAAAAAAACTCTCACATTTTAGTGCTTCATATTTGGGTAGTTCCAAATTTGAAGGTTTTTCTTTACAAATAAAAAAGTATTGTAATAAGACATTATTGGAGTCAGTATCTTTTGTTAATCATGATTTTTGTTGAAACAGTAAAAAACTCTACTTTATTTATTGTCAAACTGTCTTAGGCAGTCTCTGTGGGTAAAGATGACTTGTTTTAAAAGTTTGAATTGAATGATCTTTTGAAATATCAGAATTAGAAATGTATCTTTTAGTTGTTATGTACAGGTTGGCTGCTTAAATGAGATGGTCTTTATCTTAAAGAATGTACCTGTGATACTTGTCCACATGTAGAATATGTAAATGCTTACATGCTTGAACTAAATAAAGATACAACCCTTACAATTTATATTCATCAAAACTATAATTATGGTTATATGATTTAGTAATATAATATATTTAGCTCATATATATACGACAGTCTTAAATCTTTATTACTTAGATAGAATAAAGTCCATGCACATCAAAGTGTCTAAGCACTTGATTTAATATCTAGATTGACTTTTTCACATAATGATCATGTATGATGTATTTAATAATGTATTTCACAATTTGTGCACATTTAGAATTGCATTTATAATTACATATATTCATGCATAAATCTTGTAAAATTTATACACACATGATTGCTAAAAATAACTATATATGAGCTGCGTCATGACAAAACCATCATAATGCGTTTGCGACCACCCATGGATCCAGACCAGCCTGCGCATCCGCGCAGTCTGATCAGGATCCATGCTGTTCGCTTACAAACCCTATAACAAGTAGAGAATCTAATAGCGAAAGCATGGATCCTGATCAGACTGCGTGGACGTGCAGGCTGGTCTGGATCCATGCTTGTCGCAAACGCATTATGTTGGTTTTGTCATGGCACGGCTTATATATGTTTCACATTATAATTGCTTTCTATAGTGCTAACCATTACTAACTGTATCACACTTCAGACCAATGATGACCGCGGCAATTCCCCGCCACTGCCTGCCCAACGCAGGGGCCGTGATTCGGCCGCCTCAAATAGATCTCAGAGATCGCAGAGATCACAAAGATCCCAGAGGGGCGAGGTAGTATAAATTATTTCATTTTGTTGAAAATTGGAAGGAAAAAAAACAGTTTGCCAACAGAGAAATTGGCAATTAGTAGTTAATCCAGGGAGATCTTACCAAAATTTGTGTTAAATTGGCCCTGAAATCAAACAAACAAACATTTAGCATGACAATAAAGCTTCTGTATATCATAGAGTAAAATGCAGCAATCTGTAGAACGGAAAAGCTTGTCACAACAATGTTTATAGTATTGAATGTCATTTTACCTGAATTACAACTATATTGTGACTATCTTTTCATCCATAGTATTATTAATTAATAGTTTTATGTATACTCGTATATTTAATGTGTGTTATCTTTAGGTATTTTAAATTTGATGTTAAGTTTTGATTATATTTCATGATATTAAAAGATGAAATTTTATCTTTCAAAATTATATTGTTGGAAATGCTATTTTAAGATTTTTATATTCCATATTCAAATACATGTATAGTTATTTTGTTAATATTAATCATGCATTGGAATGGTTATAAGATATAGCTTTGAGTTCTTGAGAAGCAATAAGTCTATACAGATATCTATGAATTGTCAACGTTTAATATTATTTTGACAGATTCTTTTATTCCAAATATTATGAAATAATTAATTATTTGTATTTGTATTTTTGCTGAGGCTATACTGTTTATATGGAATACCAGTAATTGTAAAATTTGACAATTTGTTAATTGAATGAGACATTATGCACCAATGTTATTTTAAGTGAGTTAACTGAGAAAGATATCAGAGATGTAAACTATATAAAAGTTATTAAATATTACAGCAATCCCCGGCACCAGGGCCTTCACAGACCAGGCCAAATAGTAAGTATTGAGTTCTTGATGGAAATCTACAATATTTATATAAAATCAAGAATTTTGCAAATGTCTTTTGACTCTTATGTTCAAAATGTTATTTTTTCAACAATATACTTTTGTTAAATATGCAAAAGAAAATAAGTGGAGCAGTTGCCAAGTGGTTAATATTTCTGCCTCTTAACCTAGGGATTGAGCCCTTCTTCGGTCATGACCATGTTTCTTCATATGACACTAGTACTAGTTAGTTATAGGAAGACGACTCGATAATGATTAATATAAGTTGCCAAAAAGTGTTTAGTAATCTAGCTTATATAAATGTCAACTAAAAACATTAAAGTCTGAAGAAGAAATAAACATGGTTCAGTCAATAATCTGAATTGATGTCATTGGCCTGTGAAAATTTATTTGACATTGAATAAAGATCATAAGAATAATTAAAAATGTGACTGAATTATTTGTTATGGTCAATATGAGTTAAACTATAAATTGTTCCTGGTCCTGGTAATACAAATATGACATCACAAAAATTTGACTGCGTGAAATGTTTTACAGTTTGCAAAATCACTTTTGGAGAAATTTTATCTATTTATTTCGGAAATTTACATAAAGTTCATAGAACCTTCTTATGCCACAAATTTATGTATGTGTATATAAAACAAATAAATTTTCAGGTTCTGATGTACTGACTCAGTTAGCATCTATGAGAAAGCAGTTGCAGAATGAGAGAAAGAGGGTGGAAAATGCCTTAGAACATAGCAAAGTATTAAATACTTAAATTATATAATTTCGGTAACATATTTTAATGTAAGAAAGAAATGCTATGTACAAGTTTTATTTCCAATGCTTATGGGTTTTTGTATTTACATTTTAGCAAAAGTATCTTACAAGAAAGACTCAAAAGTCATATGCTGGTCTTAAATTTATTGCTCACCATTGCTGATTCACTCATACTTTTAGGGAGAAGTTATGTGTGTATGCTATCTTGTCAGGCACTTGTTGATAGATTGGTAATCATTTGTTACTTAAAGCAGCACGCCTCCAGATTCATGCTAATTTTTATGAAAATTTGAAAATGTATTTAACAGTTTGATATTGTGAAGTTACCAAAAGAATGCAATTTACACATTATCAATGGCACTTACAGCCCTTGTAAATTACCATAAAGAGGTCAAAATATGCAGAAATAGCCCTTACTGCATAAGTAACGCGGTAGAAATATAGTTATAAATACTGAAAAATTTGTCATTAATCGCACATAACATGTAAATTATTACTAGAATTTTGAATTGTTATACTTATCCTAAAATCTTAGTACATTTTTCTCAGTTTTGATTTTATCGAAATATTTTTGCTCATCAGAAAGCTGTTTAGATGAGTTAATGTATACGTATACGGCCAGTCGCCGAGAGATGACCAAAAATATATTAAAATCATTATGAACTTCAAACAAACAAAATATGCATGATCATAACTGTTCATATCCATTATTTTAACTGTTAATATGCATTATGTCATGTGTTTATTTCAGAATGAGCCGGATGTGTTTGATCCAAGGACTGTACAGAGACCTGCTCCGTTAGTTCAATTATTATTATTTGTTTTATAATTACCATTATACCATTTCATAATTATCCTAATTAACAATGTTGGTATATTACTTACTGCTCTCAGACATCTAAAAGGTAAGGCTGTATGGAAATTCACTTTCCCGACAGATAAAATTATATTCAGTTGTGAATTTCCTCTGAATTTCAACTGGCATTTCACATGGCCTGTTTATTTTCTGTTTCATTCTCTCTTAAAGTAAGATTATTTTAGACTCTTCAGATGATTTTAAGTTTGTCTTCACTTTATCCTCATTCTTGTCTTCATTCTTGTCTTCACATTTGTCTTCACTTTATTTTCACTTTTATCCTCTCTTTTGTCTTCACTTTATCCTCACTTTTGTCTTCACTTTATCCTCACTCTTTTCTTCATTCTTGTCTTCACTTTTATCTTCACTTTTATTCTTGTATTCACATATTTCCACTTTTATCTTCAATTTATCTTTAAAAATTTATTCTTCATTGTCAGCTGGAGAACTGATTATATTACACTGATCGATAATATGCCAGTTCAAGGGTTGACAATATCTTCTTTCAACAAGATACATGTAGATGTGCATTATTTATTTTATTACTCATCAAAATTATATTAACAGGGTGATATAAGAAATATCTCGGAGATTATTCTCTCATGAAGACAGTTTTCTATCGGTACACATTTGTATGACTGGTATTTCATTGGAGAATAAATTGAGGTTTAAAAAAGAATAAATACATTATGGTTATATTGCATTAAAATAAACAATGTCTTAAGGTAAAATAGCTGACTTGATTTTATATCTTCAACAGTTTTATTTGGACTGATGTTGTTGACAGGTAAAATGTTTATAAAAGGTTAAGTCAGGTTGATTCTTTAATGTTTGTTTGGCAATTGTTCTTGGTTTTTATAACCAGATTTGTGACTTCTGGCCATTTGAAACAAGGGATAGAGTTGTGTTCAGTAAACTGTTGTTTGGTTAAAGTTAAAACATTTTTTATGGTGGATGTTTAACCATATAGTGAAAACTTGGAACTGGAAAACATTTTTAACAGTTGCACTCTAAAGAAATGGAGGGTAAATGATATAATTGTTCAATGTTGAACTTTTTATTTTATTTTTTTGGGGGGGGGGGCAGAAGGGGGAGGGTGTTGAAGGTTAACATCATACACTTTATCATGTTTTTAGCTCACCTGTCACAAAGTGACAGGGTGAGCTTTTGTGATCACTTTTCTGCCGGCGTCCGTCCATCGTCCGTCCGTCCGTCGTCAGTAAACTTTTACTTTAAATGACATCTTCTCATAAACCACTAAGCCAATTTCAACCAAACTTCACAGGAATGTTCCTATGGTGGTCACCTTTGAAAATTGTTCAAAGAATTTAATTCCATGCAGAACTCTGGTTGCCATGGCAACCAAAAGAAAAAACTTTAAATATCTTCTTCTAAAAAACCCAAAGAGCTAGAGCTTAGATATTTGGCATGAAACATCTTCTAGTGAGTGTCTACCAAGTTTGTTCAAATAAAAGCCCTGGGGTCAAAATTGGCCCCGCCCCAGGGGGTCATTGATTTTCCCTATATGCATATAGTAAAAACTTAAAAAAATCTTCTTTTAAAGAACCCAAAGATCTAGAGCTAAGATATTTAGCATGAAACTTCCTCTAATGAGTGTCTACCAAGTTTGTTCAAATAAAAGCCCTGGGGTCAAAATTGGCCCCGCCCCAGGGGGTCATTCATTTTCCCTATATGCATATATAGTAAAAACTTAAAAAATTCTCTTTTAAAGAACCAAAAGAGCTAGAGCTAAGATATTTAGCATGAAACATGTTCTAATGGATGTCTACCAAGTTTGTTCAAATAAAAGCCCTGGGGTCAAAATTGGCCCCGCCCCGGGGGTCATTGATTTTCCTTATATGTGTATAGCAAAAACTTAAAAAGTCTTCTTTGAAAATAAAACAAATAGCTAGAGTTTAGATACTAAGCATGAAACATCTTCTAGTGAGTGTCTACCAAGTTTGTTCTTATAAAAGCCCTGGGGTTATAATTGGTCCCGCCTCAGGGGGTCATTGATTTTCTTTATATGTGTATAACAAAAACTTAAAAAGTCTTCTTTAAAAAAACTCAAATAGCTAGAGTTTAGATATTAAGCATGAAGCATCTTCTAGTGAGTGTCTACAAAAATTGTTCAAATGAAAGCCCTTGGGTCAAAATTGGCCCCGCCCCGGGGGACATTGATTTTCCTTATATGTGTATAGCAAAAACTTAAAAATCTTCTTTGAAAAAACCCGAATAGCTAGAGTTTAGATGTTAAGCATGAAACATTTTCTAGTAAGTGCCTACAAAGATTGTTCAAATAAAAGCCCTTGTGTCAAAACTGGCCCTGCCCCAGCTGTGTCATTGTTTTTAAATATATGTGTAAAGAAAAAACTTGACCAGCTAGACCTTAGATGTTTAGCATGAAACATCTTCTAATGGGTGTCTACCAAGTTTGTTCAAATAAAAGCCCTGGGATTTAAACTGGCCTCGCTCCGGGGGCCTATATACAGGTGAGCGATTTCAGGGCCATCATGGCCCTCTTGTTTTGTTATTGTTGTTTATTGTTTTTTTCTATTGATAATGTACCTAGTAAAACAAATTATTACAACTAAACAATATTTTGGTGTTTATCTTTTCCTACATTAGGACAACAACAGAAATCATTGAAAGGTAAAATTCTATTAAACCAGTCGATGTGTATTATCATTTATTTTCAACCCAATTTAATGTTTAATGCAATGGCTAGATGATAAACAATGGCTAGCTTTAATTGTGCATGTTATAAACATTAACTTTGATCATAATCTTACATGTACATATACAGTACTGTTGTGAATGTCCACACAATTACATGTACACAATATACATGTTATTTGAATTATATATGATATATAAATTCACATACCATTACATGTTTTATATACAATAAAACATGCAGTTACAAATGAGTGTAAATACATTCTTCATACATACTAAAGTACATGCAATACAAATACAATGTACAATGAATGTACATTCAATAATTATACATAATTTTATGTTTACAATTACAGTGTGTGTACATACAATGGTTATACATGTGGTTACAATTGCAGCTAGTGTACAAATGGTTATAACAATAATATTTGTAGTTAAAATGTTTTAAACAATGATTGTACATAAATAACATATGCAACTATGAACATGTTGATACCGTACAGATTTAAACAAACAGAATTACAAAAAGAGTAAATTGTGCATGTAATGATTATGCATACAATTACATGTTACTTTATTGTTATACAAAATACATACACTAAATGATTATATGCAAATATACATGTAATAAAACATACAGGAACTGTACATGAAATAACATATACATGTACAATAAATGTACACACAATGATCACACATACATTAGAACATATAGCCAAAATTTATCAATATTTAATTTTCATTTATTTGTTTGGCATGCATTATTCTTTTTATGCCCCCACAGAGTGGGAGCATATAGTGTTGCACTTGTCCGTCCGAGTGTCCGTCCGTACGTCCGTCCGTCCGTACATCCCGAAATCTTGTGAACGCAACTCCTCTTAAACCAGATGGCAGATTTTGCTTAAACTTCCAGGGATGATCAACCTTAATGTGTAGATGGTAGTAAAGGAAGGAATTTTTGCTGCGATCAAATTTAACAGAATTATGGCCCTTTGTTGATTTTTTCACCATAGACCATATAGAAATTTTGTGAACGCAACTCCTCTTAAACCGGATGGCAGATTTTGCTTAAACTTCCAGGGATGATCAACCTTAATGTGTAGATGGTAGTAAAGGAAGGAATTTTTGCTGCGACCAAATTTAACAGAATTATGGCCCTTTGTTGATTTTTTCACTATATACCATATAGAAATTTTGTGAACGCAACTCCTCTTAAACCGGATGGCAGATTTTGCTTAAACTTTCAGGGATGATCAACCTTAATGTGTAGATGGTAGTAAAGGAAGGAATTTTTGCTGCGACCAAATTTAACTAAATTATGGCCCTTTGTTGATTTTTTCACTATATACCATATAGAAATTTTGTGAACGCAACTCCTCTTAAACCGGATGGCAGATTTTGCTTAAACTTCCAGGGATGAACAACCTGAATGTGTAGATAATAGTAAAGGAAGGAATTTCTGCTGCGACCAAATTTAACAGAATTATGGCCCTTTATTGATTTTTTCACTATATACCATATATAAATTGTCAGTGGGGGCATCCGTGTCCTTTGGACACAGTTCTAGTTTTTTATAAAATTGAATTATTTTATCATCTTTATTACCAGGTATTTAATATTTTAAGCATTCATATCTTGCATGGTCATACATCTTTAACTTCCATTGTGCATCTAAAAATATCTACATAATATATACATTTGTCACAGGTCCTTTCATCCATATTGTAATTTTAATGTCCAGATATAACTGAAACTTCACAAAAAAGATCAGTAAGAGCCATAATTTTGAGCATAATTTTGTAAGAGTTCTATTTTTTTATATAGGTTAATTAATAAAACTAAAAGGTCTGAAAACTACCTGCTATAATTGAAGGTTTTTCTTTAAAATTTAATTTAAAGGCTAAAATCAGTTTGTTTTAAAAACCTTTGTAAGGGGAAAAATGTTTTAATTTTCAAAAACAATGCAGACCTGTCTACACCAACAACAAGGGGCACATGTTATTGCTTAAATGTAATCATTGGGGAATCTGTCTTATCCCAATTTCCAGCTTTCGCATAAGAAAAGATTTTTCAAATACCCCTTTTTTAAACGAAAAAACCAAAAACATTGTAAAAAATTTTTTTTTTTCAAATTCAAAAATAAGTTAAAAAAAAGTCACAATTTTTTTTTTTTGTTTTTAAAAACATTAGTCGTTTTGTTCAAATTTTTTTGATTAGTAGTTTTAGAAACATTTTTTAGTTAATGAGCTCATTGGTTTTTTAACAAAATTTAATACCTTCGACAGAAAACAAAAAGTATATGAATAAATTTTGTTCAGCATGATTTTAATTGATAATTTAGACTGTTAAAAAAAGGGTTTCCCTTTTAAAATAAGAAATAAAGTAATAACATTCAGCAGTCTCCCCAGGCTTTTTACTCTGGTATACTTTTAAATGTCATTTTTTTTTTAATACCCCTTAAAACTGAAAGGACAATTTAAAAGAAAAATTTTAACCCAAGTTCAACATAAAAAAATTTTAGCAAAAAAAAGGGGTTAAACTTAAAAAAAACTCCTAAAAAATCCCAACAAGAAAGGGGGACGTTTATTTTATACAAGGTTTGGGAAATTTTGGACTTTAATGGAAAAATTTTCATGTCTATTGCTTTATGGATACCCCACGGTTCAGAGGTCACATTTTATGTATAACATGCATGTATTTAATAACAATGACAAGCACATGACAATGTATGATATAATCATAAATAAATAAATAACTGGTCATGTTTACCTATAACTTACATGTAAATCTAAATAGACTGAAAGAAACTATGGAAAATATAATTAGAAAACATTTTGTCACCTTAGTGCAATAACAGGTTAAGTCCTTCTTAATTTAATAGGACTTAACCAGTTATTGCATGAAGGTGACAATTTTACTAGACTAGGTTACAGAAAAACCCATTAAACTTATTGGTGTTTAATGCACAACTTTAAAATATTTTTTTACAATATTTGCAGGAACAAGTTAATATTTGAGAATGCTGTCAATAAGAATGCCTCACTGCCGCCACCTAGAGCTCAAACCACGGACATGGCAAACGCTAGAAATATACAGCAGTTTAATGAACTCAAAAACAAAGGTAATGTCACCATGTGCCAGAGTCTGGTTGTTTCTTCAGAAATAAGATGTTTGTTTTAAATATTGTTTTAGTCTTTAGGAAGATTTTTATGAAAAGGGAAGAGTGGAAATTTTCGGCTTAAGGAAGATGTGAAGTTTCAGTTTTATATTTATGCATGTTCTCCATGAAAATGTTGTAAACACAGAAATAATCTAGATTTTCTTTCTATTTTGACCGTACATAGAAAAAGAATGACTTAAAGAGTTTTCACTGTTTTTTTTTCATTTCTGTTTTTGTTTGTTTGGAAGTTCTATTGGAATGCCACTTTAATATTATTTTCAGTTATTAGTTTGTAGTTTTATGATTTTGTGTGGCTAGACCCTACTTTTCCTTTCCTCTTAATTATCTGTAGCTGGTACCGATTCCCGGCGTCAGTTCCGTAGCATGTTCCCAGAAGCCCCGGTAACCAACACGACTCTCGAGACACAACAGGATGCCATGTTACGACATCAAGAGGAACAACTCCGCAATCTTCGAGAAAGAAGTAGGTCAAAATATACACTGTCAATGTAGACAGTCACAGTATTTTATATATAATTGTTTATACATGTAATTTATTTAAATCACAATAGTAAAAGTATAATATTGGTATGATTTAGTAAATACATTCCCTAAAGTATCTTAAACAGATTGATTCAGAATACCTTTCCTACTCATTAAACCATGAATATTTTTACATTCTTGGTCATATTTAGCTTACAATAAGAAAGTCTGAATTAACATGACGTTCTTTCTACGTTATTTGAAATCGTAAAGGTATTCTGCACAAAGATTTTAAGAAATTAAGTTTTTAGTTCTAATTTTAGAATATTAATATTAAATATGTTGGAGGGGGGTGTAAGATTTTGATTGTAATCAGTTAATAATCTTATCATAGCACAAAAATTACCAATTTTTTTATTGTAAAAATTACCAATTTTTTTTGTTGGTATTTTTTGTTTAGTTTGTAGATCTAGTAAGACTATCATTATGAACTTTGACAGTAAGACATTAATTTGGTCTTACGTTTTATAAGGTTCTAAAAGTATTGAGTAAATTTTTTGTATATGTCTTGATTCCAATGAAGTAATTTTCATTATATTTGTTACATTCAGGCAATCGTCCGTCAAGCGCACCTTTGAACCTCAATAGTACGTTGTAGACTTGTGTTTTTGTAATCTAGCGAAATAATTCCACAAAAAGAATCAATACACGTTTTAGAAAAGCTTTCACAAGTCATTCAATATTCATTTACAAGACTAACAAACTTGATGCAATTGGAGGCATCCCATATCTTTGGATTATTTTAGTTTGAAGATATTTACCCTGTAGCTATTTTCTGTCTTTCTATCATTTCACCTACTCTTGTAGCATTTTTGTGACCATACGCAGAGTTTATTTTCCTGACTGAGATTTTTGTAGTTATGAAGTAGGAATGGCATTGAGTAATGAATGCTTTGAAAATTTCTTAGGGAATTCAAAGTTTCTCAACACAATAGTGACAATGTAACAAATTTTTCTTTCTTTTAGGAATATGTTGCTATCATTTGGGTAATGAAGTAGTGATATTTATTAAGCTTATGCTTAAAAGAAAAAAAAATTGGGTCTGTTAAATAGTTCAAATAAGCTTTAATAAAATAAAGCTTAAATCGCTTGGTTTAAAGAAATTGATTTGGTCTGTTAACTAAAAGATAGATCAAATAATTATAACATAATAGGAATAGCATGTGCAATGCTATATTTTATTCTCGCCGGCCACTTCATATCCTAGCTAGTGTAAAATTATATTTCAGCTAAACAATGCTTATGACATCATTCTGACAAATTATCTTAAATTGTTAGGTAATTAAACAAGCAATATTATTTTCTTTTGCGTAGTAAATGAGGAAAAAAGGGAGAAAACTCAGAACAGCATATTCAGCGGTAAGGTTGATACGCACAATGTGTTACTTGTTGGATTTTTGGGATAACCTTAAATTTTCATTGAAATTGAATTTGTTGGCATTTTCCAGAAACAGTTATGGTTCTGACTACATGTATTTACTTTAGATTGAATATTTTTGAACCTGAAAAATTCTGTAATGTTCCCTTTGAAAAAATTACAGTCAAAAACATTACAGGTGCAGAAAAATTCATAAAAAATACATAATATTTTTACTGATATGTAAATAATGTATAAATATAGAAAGTATATTGTGATTACTAAGACTAGAAAAAGTTTCTTGTTAAATGGTTTAAACATTTTATAAAGATAATAAAAGTTGTCTGATAGAAAACAGACACTTGGTTTTTTTCAAAGTTTCGATTTTTACATGATAAATATTTTTGATAAATTATTTAAAACTCAAGTGTGTTATATGAGCTGCGTCATGACAAAACCAACATAATGGGTTTGCGACTAACATGGATCCAGACCAGCCTGTGCATCCGCGCAGTCTGATATCCATGCTGTTCGCTATCAGTTTCTCTACTTGTTATAGGGTTTGTTAGCGAACAGCATGGATCCTGATCAGACTGCGCGGATGCGTAGGCTGGTCTGGAACCATGCTGGTCGCAAACCCATTATGTTGGTTTTGTCATGACACGGCTCATATATTATTAGTTATAAAGATCGTTGACAGGTTATATGGCCTTATATAAACGGCTATTTATATTGCCAACAGCCGTTTATATACGGCCATATAACCTGTCAACAATCTTTATAACGAATTTATAATACAGCAAGCATCATTTTTAGAGAAAAAAGTAAATATTTCTTCATGAATCAGCAACAGCCGTGTATATAAAACTATATAAACGTCACGATTATCCAATGAAAAGCGACGTTACAAACGTGCAGTATTATAAGTTCATAACGCCCAAGTTTCTTGTGCGTTTTATAAAAAAAAGTGTAAATATAAACTGTACGTAAAAGCGCCTTGCAATACAAACCATATCTTTCTGTCCAAGATTTAAATTTGTCAATATATCAAATATAACATTAATATAGAATGCATGATATTTTATTATTTTCTGTTGTTTAAATGGTATATATTTTATTATGGTAATAGATGACAGTTATGACCCAAAAATCCCATATATTGTTGGAGGTTTGTTCTCACACACTAAGTCACTTTTGGATGAAACTTCCATGCACCATGTGATTTCATAGTTTATAGTTCATGGGACAAGTTTTACAATGGTCTGGGTGGAAAATGTGTTCACTACATGATATAATTGTTTACTGAAGGGATATCTAGAAGTTTATTGGGTGCACATTAGGGGCTATTAAAAATATCAGCAAAAAAGTTTTTTAAAGGTTACATAACATAGTTAATTTTAGAATAGTAGATGTTAATCTGTGATTAATTGGAGTTAAAGAGTAAATTAATTTGACTGACAGTAGTAATGGTAAAATGTGCACAATGAAAGAGGAGTCTTTCAACTTAAAATGTTGTGAAAACCATTGTGACAATGCTAAGCATTGTTATTTGTGTATGTGAAATATGGGGATTTGGTTCAAAAATGGGGGAAAGACTAACAAGGAAATGAAATGTTAGCCCATTCAAATGTATTTTTTAAAGTAAATGAATGCACCCTTTTGTCTTATTCATTTGTCATTATATGTTATGCACATCTTTAATTTGATGCATTTAAGATCACAATGTCATGTAATGCAGAAAATGTATTAAACTATGTTTGTTATTTGTTGTCCATAATATGTGTGAATACATGTTTATCAATATGTAAAAAATACACATATGTAAATAGAAAATCATGAATGAATCCTTCAAATGTTGGAAAATATACATTTTTCATCAGATAGACATTTGATAATTCTTGAATATTAGTAACTTTAATGGCAAATAGAAATTTCATAAACAATTCTGTGTACTTGACTTTGTTGAAGTTGTGTTGTTTTGATGTAAGTAATGTAATAATGTCCTGAGTGTCATTAAAGATTTCCCAAAACAATAGCAGATGCTTGCAAGGATAAAAGCAAGTGGAAGTAACTCCATTTTTATGCATTGTCTTTTACCTGAACCTGACATATATACAACATGTATATCAAATATATAGCCAATGCACACATTGCACTGGATTTCTTTGTGCTTATTTTATTGCACACTGCTCTACTCTTGTATACAGCTGATTATAATTTGTTGGTTTTGCAGACATTTTTGGAATTGAGTTGGGTTTTATGTTGGAATTGTTTAATTTATTATTTTAATTTTTTTTTAATTTGAACAAAAATTTCCAAAGAAATATTTTTCATTTTATATCACTCTTCTTTTAACTTTTATTTGTAGTTTTTATTTGAAATAATGTATTTTTTGTTTCCAATTCCTTTCAAAACAAAACAAGGAGAGGGTTTAATTTGATAAATTTAAAGTGTCAAATAAAAATGATAAATGGGGAAGGTAAGGAATGTGGAAATTGACATTATAATTATTGCACCATATAACTTTATTTGCATATCATTTTACCACTTAGCTTTATTTTTAGGGTCACACATTAGTTAGTATTTGGATTTTATAACTAGAATCAGCTGTGTACAATATACACTAACCATGCACACTTCTTGTTTATAACAGATCCATACGATCCCTCACCGTCAGGCCTGAGTTTCGGTCCGGGTAGACGAGGCAACATCAGTGCTAGGTCACAATTAGAGTCAAACAGTGCATTTATAGGTTTGTCTACATGTGTAGTGTGTTACCTCCCCTTTTATATCTGAGTGTGTTGTTGCTGTGTTTTGTTACCTCCCTTTGTATGCAGTCTGTTTTCTGTCTTTGTGTCATTCACTGTGTGTGTGTGTGTGTGTGTGTGTGTTTGTGACTTCTGTTTAACTAACATGGTGGTGGAGTTAGAAAAATGGGATTACAAGTAGGTTTTAAGTATCTTGATTCATTATTGAATAAGTAGTCACTTTTAAATGAAAGCTATGAAATTTGCTTTTTTTTGTGTGACTTTATGTTTTAACAAATTCAAAAAATGACCCAAAAATTCATTTCCAACAAAGTAAAAATTGCTACTTAAAATAAAACACAACTCTTTCAATATTAACTCCCTCACTGTTGTGAGTACAAATCCCGACAGGGACCGTGGATTTTTTAATATTTACAGTTAACTTGCGAAACGTCAGTGGTTTTACTCTGGTGCCAATTTATACCCGAAATAATCCACGGAGGGGTATCTGAGGTCTTCCTCCACCAGTAAAAGTAGAAAGTTGCCAAATGACCTATACTGTGTTGATGGGATGTAAAACCCAACCAAAAAAAAAACAACAACAAAAAACTCTTAACACTGCTTTGAATTTTAAACAGGATTTCATTATCAAAATATTAAAATCGAGCTACCAGCAGTACTGTTCAAACTGCACTGAAATGCAGGCTGGTCTGGCTATATGCTGATGTCAAAGCCTGACTCATTTTCAGCTCCAGCATATTTGATATTGAAATCACAGTAATTACCAAATATGTTGTTATTATTTCAAAATTGAATCTTTTTTAGAAAACAAACATTTTTGTAATTTTAACCCCAGTTATATGAATTATGCTGTTATGTTTTACAACACCCATTATATTTTGCAATTTATTTTTGTTTTCTCACTTTTCGTAATGTAAAAAGTTTTCAGTTTCTTTTATTATAGTAGTTAGTATTATATTTTCTAGTATTATATTTTCTAGTCTAATTGCATTATAGATATTGACAGTGAATTGTTTAGAGTTATAGAACAATTCTATATTTACATGACAAATGTTTTAATGATTTTTAATAATTGCAAAAACCCCAGTTATAAAACCCTGTTTTTAAGGTCCCGGTTATATGTAAAAAGCTTTGCTTCCCTAGAACGTTTATTTTAATTGGGTTTATAGGGAAAAATTAATATTTATGTTTTGAAACCTCAAAGAAAAATTCACCCGTTTTTAAGGGGAAGCTGTTTTAATCCTTAAACCCTGCTAAATTTTCTTAAAAGGACCTGTCCATCTTTCAATCGGGGCAAAACCATTTATCAAATTAGGGAAATTTCCAAAATACATAGTGACTGAATAGCAAACAGAGTAGATCTTGATCGGCTGATCTTGGTCTGCACTGGTTGTATGAATAAAATTAGTTGCTTCCAACATGCTTAGTTATTGAATTAAATTAAAATTAGAATTGTAAATTTATCTGGAAGTGTGCTTCATGTGTCATTTGTATTTATGTTTTTAAATGCTATAAACTGATAATTTGACTAAATAACTAAGTTATGATAGTCTTGAACTCATAATTTCTGAAAAGGAAAAACGTTTTGATGCAACTATGTTTAATTTGCATGTTTGCCCAATTTGTTTTTGTATGCACAAATTTATTTAGTCACTTTAGGCCATTTTGCACAATGTTAATATATGGAATATTGAGATATTTATTGGTATTGATTCATCTGAAATTGTTTTCATATATTAACAGATGTTGAAGGTGTGAATCACTTTCCAGAGGATTTTGATGAAATGGTGGGTGCGAGAAATGACTCAGCACGTGCTAGACGTAGAGCTAAAGAATACAGTCCAAGGGTAAAACTTATTATTGCGTCTTGATATAACCTTTATGATATTCTGTAAACAAATTAATGTGGCATATATCCAATGAATGCATTCATTTTACATTGTACTCTGAGTCTCTGAAATAGAATTCTAATAAGGTGTGGTCCTAAAAAAGTAATGGTGTCATTACAAGAGTTTTTGAAGAAAAAAAAGATTTCTATGTGTCTGTAAAATATTGAGGAATATAAAGATCTACAGTGAATTCTAACTTATTTGAATAGTTCTAGTCTAAAATCCTTTCAAAACCCCAACAAATATCTTGGTCAAATTAAATTTTTTACTTTGTTTATAATTTATAAAAAAATTATTGTGCCAGATCATAACCCTTTCCCACTCTAAACAATAGGACAGTATATTAATTTAATATATTATTTCTGGAACGAACCCCACTGCTCCTTTCCACCTACTTCCTTGATCGAAAAAGGTGTTTTGATCAGACAGATTTCCTACTGTTTAATTTATTGTTCAATAATGTTTTACCCATCATTTGGTGTTCCAAATTAATTACATACAACTTAGTAACTTATTTGAAATTTTGTTTAAAGATATATAGAATATATTAATATTTTTTACTATGTTTAACAGCCTTACCCCAGTGATAACAGATTGGGATCTCAGGCCAGCCTAGATGTAAGATGGTATACAGAGAAAGAATGAGGAAACGTTTGAGGGGAGACTCAAAAAAAACTTGGCCACTGGTTTAATTTAAAACTTTTAACATCCACCAAGATTATTCACACCTACATTACAATCTGAGTGTAATATACTCTAATTTGAATCTATAATTTTGAACTCTGACGGTGAAGGGTGTCTAAGGCTGAGTGGTTAATGTTGTTGGCTTCAAACCACTTTGCCTCTTAGCGCTGTAAGTTTGAGAGGCGCCAGCATCTTAGGATTCTATATGTGAGAAAGCTATTCAGCTAACTTATAAAACGTCTGTGGTTCTATTCAGGTGCCTGCTTGTGCCTAAAATGATGTAGAGGGACACCTGAGGTTTTCCAGTAAAGCTGGAAAATTGCCATATGACCTATACTGTGTTTGTGCCACAGTAAACCCAACAAAAGAATTTACAGTGCTAATTTTGTTTTTTGTAATTTTGCTAATAATGGAATTGTGTTGCTTTAAATTTGGAAGAGATACATAATATGTGGGATTCTATTTGTTTAAAGTTTTATGAATTAGATATCATTTAGAAGCGTGGCAATAATGTTAATGGATGTGTATTCCCCATGAACATATAATTCTAATGAACATCTAAATGATACATTTCAATGAACATGTAGCATGAGTGAAAAGTTATTACAGAATATCTTCATGCCATAACTTATGACAAACATTTTATCTTTTTACAGCTGGGGATGATATATCAACAGCAGACCCAGACGACATTCTAGATAGATTTATGGCTAAACAGACATTTAACAGGTAATTTTCTTCTTGATAAATATATTGATTGTCTAAATCTGAAAGCATATAACTTGAATAATTTCTGTGATTCCATGACCTCCCCTGCATGTAGTCTGTATTTCTCATATTCAATAAAATAGATGCATTATCCAATTGTATCATTCCTGTGTAAAAGAAATAGTTTATGAATAATTATTACCAGTATTATGGTACATAAGTATATGCTAAGCATATTTATAAAGTATGGTATGGAGTAAAGATCTTATAGTGTACAGTATCTTAGAGATGGGCAAAGTGCTACCAGATCACATATAATGAACAGGGCTACTGTTGAATGATTGGAGCAAAGTTGTTTAATATTGCCTGTTTTTTTTTTCTTGCACGTATTTTGCATTCAATTATTGAGACACCTTTCAAAAACTTCATTGTCAATTTGTTTGTAACACTAGCCACTTATACTTTGCCATTATAACCATTTTTTAGAAGAATGGAAAAATATTTTTTCTGGAAGGAAAATTTGTTTCATCTTTTTATTTGTTTTGATTACAAACAATGTTATTAACCAGGTTTTCCGAAGGAAAAAACTGGTTATTAGATTGAGGTATGTCGGTGGGCGGGCGGGCGTAAACAATTTCTTCTGTGCGCAACTCCTTCTACATTTCTCAACGGATTTTGACCAAACTTTCACAGAAGCTTTGTCATCAAGTGCCCTGGCGCATATTGTTAGGGTTTTGCGATTGGATAATATTTGACCTAATTATGGCCCTTTGTTTTTTTTCCTTATATAGAATATATAGTGAACAATTTCTTCTGTGCGCAACTCCTCCTACATTTCTCAACGGATTTTGACCAAACTTTTACAGAAGCTTTGTCATCAAGTGCCCTGGGGCATATTGTCAAGGTTTTGCGATTGGATAATATTTGACCTTAAAATGGCCCTTTGTTTTTTTTCCTTATGTAGAATATATAGTGAACAATTTCTTCTGTGCTGAACTCCTCCTACATTTCTCAAAGGATTTTGACCAAACTTTCACAGAAGCTTTGTCATCAAGTGCCCTGGCGCATATATTGTCGGGGTTTTGTGATTGGATAATATTTGACCTAATTATGGCCCTTTGTTTTTTTCCTTATATAGAATATATAGTGAACAATTTCTTTCGTGCGCAACTTCTACATTTCTCACAAAATTTGACCAAACTTTCTCAGAAGCTTTGTTATCAAGTGCCCTGGCGCATATTGTCAGGGTTTTATGATTGGATAATATTTGACCTAATTATGGCCCTTTGTTTTTTTTCCTTATACAGAATTACCAATATATAGTGAACAAATTCTTCTGTGCTGAACTCGTCCTACATTTCTCAAAGGATTTTGTTCAAACTTTCACAGAAGCTTTGTCATCAAGTACCCTGGTGCATATTGTTGGGGTTTTGTGATTGGATAGTTTTTGACCTAATTATGGCCCTTTGCTTTTTTTCCTTATACAGAATATTTAGTGAACACTTCTTCTGTGGCAATTCCTCCTACATTATTCATGTTTTACATTGCACATAGTTACATTGTTTGTTGCTTGTATTTGTATTTCAAATACAACATATTTATCTATAATGGTGATAATTGAAAACCTGGTTCCGTGGCATTGCCATGTTTCTTGTTTTTAGATGTGTCTTCATTTATACACCTTATCATTCCTTTATAATTCCTATGATTATTATTTTTTGTAACATTTTAGGGGTTATTATCCAAGGTATTTCTTTAAATAATGATAATAAAAATGTTCTGGCTCAACCTGGGATGTTATTATATATATATATGCTAGATGTGTGTTTGTGTGGTGTATATATTTTCATGTATTGCTATCTTTGATCTAGGGATCATATAGTAGTTTTGATATGGATAGTTTCAAGACTGGTTTCTTTGTAAAACCAACTATTACCATATCAAAACTGTATAGACTGTAATCTAACTTTTACTGAGCAAATTATTTCTGATGTATATAGTGTTCTTGGTTTAAACATATTTATTTAAGCTTGATTGCAAAAGAAGTTCTGCAACTAATATTAATCACTTTCGAGTCTGCTTCCTGAAGCGAACTGGTGTCATATTAAGAAACATGGCCCGAGACTCAATTAGGGCTTGAACCCATAACCCCTGGGTTGAGAGGCAGAAACCTTAACCACTAGGGCACAGCTCTCCTTATTTAGCGTTCTTAGAGGGAAACCATTATAATGCACTCTAAGTTAAGAGGTGAGATACAAACATTTCACCTCAAGTAATTGCTCAGTCTTTCTCCCGGACAACAATGCTATTTTAAGAATGTAATTTATTAAATGTTTAAAAAATTAAATAGATCAGGCCTTTTATAAGGTTTGGGTCACAAGCTTGAACCCTGAGGAATATCATTGTTCTAATCAATGTTGAATGATATTGTTTCAAAGAAAATTAATCCTTTATTTATGATTCATCTGACAAAGTTGTCATTTTATTTGATGAAGTCAAGTTTTGTTTTGGTACAAGTTTGTTGTTAACTTGTGAACATTAAAACCCCCTTCTCTTTTCTGCTAAGAAAATGAATGATACAGTTGTCAAACTTATATAATTGGTTATATCACATGTGTTATTGGGCTAATTATATAGCTGATGCTTATTGGGTATACATGATGTTATTGGGCATTACATATGTAAGGACAAAACTGATATTTTTATTATTTATCTCCTAATTTTATCAATGTAGAAGATCTGTGTGCTCCATATGTGTAGATGTTTAACCTGGGTATATTGGGTAAGCCATAATCCATTTTGGCTAATAGAAAATAGGAAGAACTATTTTAAAATGATATCTAACAAATGGCACTGTTTAATGGTAGACAAGAACATTAATACAAGCTTCAGTCACAAATAGCACCTAATATTGTAGAAGAACATGCACAAACTTAAGTGCTTGCAATGTATGTGCACAAGCTCTCATTTTTGCAAAAAACTTGATTTTTTTACACCTCTGGGCTTCCATATTTCATGTTATTTGTTTCTGTTATGCTTCCAAATGCATTGATAAAACAGGGACATAAATTTTTGTTTTACCCTTTTTGATTGCATATCAGACTAACCATAGCCATGTTTATTATATTGGTTAGAGTGTTTTAAACTTGCATCTGGATAAACATACATCTAAATAAGAGCCTCATTTTAAAGTATGACCTTGGCCCTATATTGACCTTGACCTCCAAGGTTAAAATTATCAAAAATTGGGATGATAACTGGTGTTTTATGAACAGTTTTTGGTCGTATTTGTGCTTTTATGTATAACACACAATGGTTTTTGTTGATGTTCTCAATGCTAGCAATAAATATGATTTAAAGTAGATGATTTGTTGTGGTAGAAGACTACAAAACTTCGGAATTAAAAACTTGATATATACATTCCAGGTTGAGCACTAGATTTAGATGAAAATGTATACTCTCTTTAAATGTAGTATGTAGTACTTGTATTTTAGAATGAGAAAAAAACTAATTGACCTTTAATAGGTCATCTCAGCTAGCTTTCTTATTCTGCAATAATTTTATAACAATGATATTACTGTCTCTGAAATAAATGACTGCATCACAAACGCATTACCTGTTGCAGTAGAAACTATTTTCTGATAGTAACATTTCATTTTAGTCGTTACCTACCATCTTATCTGTTGTAAAATCACATCTGAAATCAGGTAAAGATTTGGTTACTGCTAAATTATGTTACTCTTGTAGTTTTTGACCTGGTTAGCTAGATTTAGGTTTGCAGTCATTGATTTTTACTTTCCCTTAACCTGTTGAATTTCGTAAATGGACTAGTCCAACTTCTATTCTTGGAACTGTCCATTATCATCAGTGGGTGAAAAATTAAAAAGCAAAGTTGGTCAGCAAACAGTATAGAATCTGATCAGACTGCATGGATGTGCAGGCTGGCCTGGTTTTATACTAGTGGGAAACTTGCTACTCACTTTCTGCTCCAGTAGGCTAATGAATTTCTGTTACATTTACTGTGATGCAAAAATTATTAATTAATTTATCAAATAAATTGTGTATATACAAAATTTATTTAAAAAAGGAGTTGGCCCATGTTTGTTATATTTTGTTGTTATCACTGATATTTATTAATGAAATCATTTTTGTATATAATTCTTTCATTTCTTCTATGTGTTCATATTATTTTTATTCTTTTGAGAGCCCTTCTTTTTAAATAATGATTTGTCGTTTTTGTTCATTGCAGACCACCATCAGGCATGACATTACAAGACGATACCTGGCTTAAACCGGGCAGCAAAGCTGTATAGGAGACCAGCCCTTGATTCACAACATGCCTTATAGCTTGTAGGATAGTCCATTCAGCTCCAGTCCTCACTGACTGCTCACATGCTGCATCTTTACAGACTAAAAAA